AGCTAAATTTAAGCAGGCACGAAGCACGTCTGACTGGCAGCTGATCTTGAAATGTGAAGGAAAGCCATTTCTGTGGGGTGGTTTGTGGGTGGGCGCCAGGCGGCAGGGGCGGAGGAAGAGGTGGGGGTACGTTCATTCTTTGAACATTTCTCCCAAAAAGCCCTGTCATCAAGAAGGGCGACTGAATGCTTGTTTCCACAATTGTAAACTCATTTGTTTGTTGCATTCATTCATTCATTCATTCATTCATTCATTCATTCATTCATTTGCACTTTGAAACATTGGGGATTTTTTTAGAAGTATAAGTTTAACTAGTCTTGATTTAAGCTTGCCCAACCGGATGTGGGTGAGACTACTTTTATTTTGCAAGAATGTGACCGGTTGTTCTCCAAACCAATATAAGGTGATTCCAGATGCCATTTAACTTTTCCTTTCCTGAAAAAGCTACTTTGATCCAACACTGAATTAATATTTTCCTTACTTAATGGGAAAGAAATTGAGGGAATTTATTGGCTGAAAATAATGATTTACAGACCCTAATTTCAGTCAAGTAATTTTTATTTATATAGTGCTTTATACAATAACGATTGGCTGCATCCAAAATCGCATACTTCCCTACTATATAGTAGGCGAAAAACAGGAGGTGACAAAAAAAGTACGTCCAAATTTACAGTACTCATAAAAGAGTAGGCAAAAAGTACCCGGATGTCCTACTACTTTGAGATTCTGAAGTGTGCGATGGACACTTTGTACGTGTGTACGATGTTGTGCGTCCAGATTTCATTCATACTACAAACACTCACACTATATAGAACGTACTTTTTTAGCGGTTGTGAAGAAATTTCTTATTCAAAATAAGTATCTCAAGAGAGTATGCGATTTCGGACGCAGCCATTGGTTCAAAGCAGCTTCAGAGGAAAATAATTCCTTCATAAACAGGAAAATAACAGAATCAATGATGCAGGGGAGGCACTTTTCGTAGAGGCTAGCAAGCTAGCTTTGAAAGCAAAAGATCCCACCCTCCCTTCAGAGCGTCTCCAAAGCCACGAACTGCTCAGTGTATAACGTCACAGGTTTCCATCTCTTCCAAATTACGGTATTAATGGCGTGAACGCAGCATACGTTTTTTGTCTTGGTTCAGGAGGAACTGTAAAAGGTGACTGTTGTTTCGGTTGCCGTCTGTCTAACTGCATTGCATGAAACACGCTGATGACGTGTGACGTCTGCATGAGCAGGTGCGCGGAGGTATGGAAATACATGCAGTGTTTCCTCTAGGATTTTTTCCAGCCGTGGTGGCAGGCCCATTTCGCCAGGGGGAGGGGCGTGGCCCATGAATGATATTCCCATTGGCCACACCCCCTTATCCCAGGTGTTTAAACCTCCCCTAAGTATTATAACATGAAAGGCGCCAATAAGAGCGGCAAAGCGATTATGCGCATCGCGTGCGCAGAATGATGCACTTGAAGCAACGCGAAGTCACAGCGTGCAGCGCTTCGCATTGAAAGGTTCAAAGCACAAAGCGAAGAGATTATATCTGCTTAATGTATTATATCTATGCAACAGTTTATTAAGCCTTTTCTTTTAACAGTTTTAAATTTCAGTTAACTTACAGTGCGCATGAAGAACAATTCATAGTGCTCTCTACTCTAGTGCTGTAGTAACAGACACCCGGGAGAAAGGAATGTGATTTAGAAAGCGCTATAAACTCCAGCAAGATAAAGTAATTTTATGCAAACTATAGACCTTTATCTACAAATATAGTATAAAGGGAACATTGATCTTGAAGAGAGTGTCGTCGTGTTACTATGTGTTACTGTCGTAACCGAACGCGACGTGCTGTTTGAATCCTGAATGGAGAATGACCAAGGGGGTAATCCATCGACCGGAAGTTGAAGCCGGCCGGGTGCCGCCATGTTGTAGCAGAACTTTACTTGCGTTAGCATTTCCATTGACTCCCATTCATTTTGGCGTCACTTTGACAGCGAATAACTTTACATCTGAGGCGTTTAAAGACTCCATTTGTCCATTATTTATTTCTAAAGAAACACGACAATGTATAAAGGGCTCCATTACCTTCTATGTTACATTATGGCCCCGTAGAAACAGTTTTAGTAAAAATAGGCTAACGATTGCGTCATAACCACTCGACTCTCTGTCGCGCTGTACAGAAATGACCGTACAGACAGGAGGAGAAGCTCGCAGGCTATCGGGGGGACGTCCCGTCAAGGGAGAAGCCCATAGATAATGAGTCCATAAAAGCAACGGAATACTTACTCCTGCTCACTCACGCCAAATAACTCTTTGCTCAAGTTCCCCGTCTCTGCAAGATTAACGTTGGCAATTTCACGCACAGCTACTAGAAGATTAACGTCTGTCAGACAGGTTGCTCACGTCATCAAGCTTAGTTTGAGTCGGTTTGAGTCTGCGCGTCAGGAATGGAAGTGTTCAAAAATCGCTAAAAATGGGCTTCAACTGTCTCAACTGAGTTCCAATGAGATGGCTGAGGAGAGATGAGTTTCCATTAACTTTAACTTAACGACTTAAATATACATTTTTACCTCACATTATGCTATTGAATGACTTTAGAAGTCTTGGAATATAGTGTGAAAACTTTATGGTGCTTCACAATGTTTTGTATGCCTTTAGTGGGGCTTAACAATAACACAAACAATATCGGACCGAGAAGCTGCAGCCGTGGCGGGATGATTTTAGGTGTGGCGGCCCGCCACGGCAGAATGAATGTAGCGGAAACACTGACATGTATACGCTGATAGGCAGGTAGGACATCGTATCATTGCATTCGGACCGAATGCAATGATTGGACGATCATTTTATGGTCCTATGCCTTCCACAGACATATATAAATACATTTAGACCACTTAAATTAGTGATGGCTATCAGATGTGAAGAGACTTTCAACCAGCATAACAAAAAATGTTTCTGGAACAAATCACCTACCCTGTCTTTAATCTAATATTACGCCAAAATGAGTCTGCAGCAGTCAGGTGGTACAGGTCAGAGCTCTTTAAGTTGTTTATGTTTCATTATTATTGTAATGTTATGTGCTTTGAGACATGAGGTAGTTTCTCTCGTTGCCATCTCATTGCTCCCTGCTCAAAGCACATAACATTACAATAATAATGAACATAAACAACTTAAAGAGCTCTGACCTGTACCACCTGACTGCTGCAGACTCATTTTGGTGTTGATAGTGTTGCATTGAAACGCATAAATTCGAGTCACGAATCAAATATTAAACAAATTCTAATTCTGCTGTAATATAGCTCTAAAAAGGCAATAGTATTATTATTTAGCTCAAGTTAGTTCAGTGTGGATTCAATTCAGTTCAGTTGTATCCTTTTCTATCCTAAAACCTGATTGGTTGATAGGACCTTCTTTGGATAATCATTTTCACCGTTGATGTATAAATAAGTATCGAACATTTGCAGCATTCATGTGCTAAAATTAGTGGCAGCACAGACCAGAATGGACCAAAATGTCAAAGCTTGCGGACGGACACGTGCTGTCTGAGCTCAGTTATTCTGTTTTTATTCATTCATGTTTTATATTCTTCACTTGGGTTTAGAAAACATTTACTTAGAAAAAAACCTCTCCACCACAATGTGCAAATCATCAGTAAACTCATGTGATTGGAGGATTGTGTAACGGAGGCGGGGCCTCTTCCAGGTGGTGGGAGGAGCCGTGGTTCTGAGTGGCAGTATAAGGAATGACAGCGTTATGTAGACAGGTACAGTGGGACAGTGAGCAGGCGTCATCATAGTGAGCAGAGCATCCTCAGCTGTTACCAGGGCAACAGAGCACAGAGACACTCTGGGGTAAGTGTGTCTGTCACTCAGTGTTTGTTGTCATGGCAATGAGATCAAAGCAGCACAGGTGTTTGGTTGTGTTAGAAATTGTGGTTTTATTTATTTATCTTTTTTGCATCTGCTTTGGAACTGGATGATGAAGATGATTTTAGCAACGTTTAAATGGTTGTTTAAATATTTCATAAAGTTATTATATAGAGATTTAGTATATTTTTATTTTATATTTTTATGTTGTTGTTGTTTTTTGCTTTTCTTTACAACAAATTAGTGAAAAGAATGTCTTATCTTGCACAATTTAGCTTTTCATGTCTTGTTTTTAATGTCTTTGCACTGTTTGTAAAAAGCAGGGCACAATGTACTGTGTTAATATAAAGGAATTTTCCGTATTGATTTTTCACAGATCTTTTACAGATATTTTGAATTATGCATTGTGTTGTGTTTTAGGGGTAAATGGAATGTCCATAAACTTAATAACTTAATAATGTCCTGCAAGAAAATAACTAGTGCCTTTTCTGTTTTTTAACAGATATTTTTCTTACAGTACATATATGAATGAAATGAAATGAATGTGGAGAAGAGCTTGGTCTCGAGCACATTTTGAGACCTTGTTGAGACCTCTTTTTAAACTCTAGAGTTGTTCTTTTTCTTTGAAACAGAGATGCAAGGGACTTCAGCTAAAGTCTCCATTTGATTTCCAGTTAATGTCATTTAAGGAGAGGAGGGTCTGAGAACCACCGCTGGCATTTCATGGTCTGGTCTAGATCTTGATGTTTGTATTAGAGTTTAGGCTTTTTGAGTGATCTAAAAACAGTGATGGTATAGTTCAGTGTGTCTACATGACCTTCTCATCAGAGAATCATTTTTTCTCTTTTGCTCCAGTAGATCCAGTAAGTAGTTTCTGGCCTGACTGAGCATATTTGATCCAAATATAGGCCAAGAAAAGCAGTGCTGCCCCAAACCACAGGCTTGCTTAAGTTTAGCTGACTATTTATATCCCGCTTTAGCTTATAGATCACTTCTGTACGCATACAAACCCATTATGTGTCCACCACAAGAGAGCCTAAGTGCTGTTTACCTGTCCCCGCATCGTGAGGTTTTGGTGGTTTTTGCTGACGCTGATGATGTTATATTTGCTGCGTGTGTCATTGAGTTCCTGTCATGTATTTTTTTCAGATTACATGAATATAGAAGAATATTTTGAAGAAGATGAAGAACCACCTTTACTGCTCTGCCCCTGTCTGTCTGATTGTAAGTATGCTCATTAATGTGACGGTGTGTGTGTGTGTGTGTGTGTGTGATTACTGCAGTGTGCTTAAGTTGACAGTGATGAATGAGGGCTATTACAGTGAGGTTTCTCTCAGAACACTTTGTCTCTTCTCACACTTCTCTGTTCCTTCACTGCACAGAGAACCTGCAATGTAGCCAATAACGAACATCCCATTCTGCACTACAGTATACTATAAATGGCTACACTATACTATACTACATTACAACAAGACAATTCACTACTGGCAAACCCAGTGTTTTTCATGCACTGGTCAATTTTGAGATTTTGGACTATTTTGCTTCCTTCATAACATGTTTTCTTTCAAACTAGTGTACACATTTTAAGTGTTTATTACACTATATCTATTTGCATCTGTAGATTTAACTTACAAATACATATCTTTAAAAGCCATGAGTTTGTTTTCTCGCTGAACCAGAAATCTTCACTTCAGCAACTTTACATACACCACACTTTACAGATTTATTCCTATTTATATTCTGAAGGTTTTTTTACAGATGGGTTTGTTGTTCATATACCATTCAACTGATTTATATAACATTTCAATGATATAACTTTTTTCTTTCTGGTTGTTGACTGTAATAAAAACCCTCTCTGTAGAAAACCTTTTTTTGCTGTAGAAAAAAAAAAATGGATCTGGCTAATGTTCAAATTTATGGTCTGGAAATGTATGCAAATTTGTGTTTATTTTATCAGCTTATTTCCATATTTACACGTGTATTATAAAACATATACAGTAGGTCCTGTGATTAATCAACTGGTGAAAGTATGGTGATATCTGTTAATATTTACCCTATTCACCTGTATTGTCTTGCCTCAAACTACACTTTACTAATCCTGTATTTTACCTGCTTTGTTATACTCCTATTCATGCAACAGTTAGTTCTGGTTTGATTCTCACAGGTAGGTTTGTTTGTGTGTTTTTAACACTGATTGTTCTCGTTTGTGTCTCTCTGCAGCTGCTGGAGTTATGGGGGACATTAGCGGCGCAGTGTCGGTGGGAGGACGGGTGTGTGTGTCCACTCTGTCCAGCCGGGCAGGAGCCCACCACGGTGAGAGACAACAACTCCAAAACACACACACACACACATATGATTTATAAGCTAATGTATTAGCAATACTTTGCTAATACATTAGCTTATAAATATTGCTAATATTGCTGTATTAGCAATACTAATGTATTGCTCATTGTTAGGTAATATTAATGAATTAACTAACCTTAACTAATGGAACCGTAAAGTGTTACCTAGAAATGCATATATATATATATGAATTTTCAAAGAAAGCTTCATTTATTAATCTTTTCTAATTCGACACCACTCTGTGAGAGACACAACAGTTTGTTCTTTCACACAATTTGTGATTTATATCATCTGAGTGATGTTTATTTGTTTCTTTAAGGCTTGTGGGGAAGTTGAGGGTCCTGGTGAGGCCGGATTGTGCCGGACTTGCCCAGCAGGCACCTTCTCTGATAACCGTGACCCTGAGCCGTGCCGCCCACATATCTCCTGCAGTGGACTCAACCGCTGGATCACCACCGCACCGACCTCACACTCTGACGCCGTGTGTGGAGGATGCCTTCCCGGGTAAAGAACAAAAAATATTTATTCTTTTATTATTATTTTATCCTTTTGATTCCAGTCATTGTCTTCATCATTGCGTCACTTTGGTGTCCTAGCAGATGTGTTTTCATAGGCGCACAATGTTCCCAAAACTGAATTAAAGGGAAAGTGAGAGGAAAGTATTTATGAACTGAAATATTTTTCAGGTTTCACCCTGCTGCTAAACGGAAGTCCTCCACCCTCCACGCCTGCGTCAGGAGTAAGTGTCTAGCTTTTCATATATCAACGTTTAATCATTTCACCAACCAGAAGTACAAAGAAGAAAAATGTTCAATACATTTTTGCATTGAATAGTATACAAAATCTGAATAAACAATTCTTCTGCGAAGTAATATGGAGGATTAGGCTAGCTATAAGCAGTTTATGGTAGAAATACTGGCTATTTTACAATTTGTTCTCTTGTTTTAGTTTAATCGTGTCCACGAATTAAAATTCATTCTCATGACTTACTAATTTTGTTCCCTCGTTTTAGTAAATCGTGGCCATGTTGTACAAATTTGTTCCCTTAATGTTTTCAATTAACTAAAACAAGGGAACAAATTATTACAACGTGGCCATGATTTACTAAATTGGGGGAATGAATTCATAAAACGAGGGAATGAATTCTTAATTTGTTGTCACGAAATATATATATATATATATACATCTAAAAAATAAATACATAAATAATTACCATTATCCTTAATAGTAAATCTTATTTGATTCTCATTACTGTTATAAAGTCATTCTTATTTTTAAAATAAATAGCATAAATAATATAAAACATAATATAATATAATACATATATAATACAATTTAAACAGTATATATATATATATAGTTTAAATTTAATGTTTTATATTATTTTTTATATTATTTATGCTATTTAGTTTAAAAATAGGAATGACTTTATAACAGTAAAATATATATACTCATCCAATCAGAATTCAGAGGTAGAATCATCTGTCTTATTAGTAATTAATAAGAGAATGTGTTCAATGTACAGAGCCATACAGCCGGCGGAGACGTAACGCTGTTAGGAGCACCCCTAGCAGGTCTGGAGTGGGAGGTGCAAACGCCACCAACGTTCAAAATCCCGAGGAGAAGAGCGCGGAGTATGCTGTGTTTGCACTAGTGCCCATCTTCTGTGTGATGGGCCTGCTGGGAATTCTCATCTGCAACCTGCTCAAGAAGAAGGGCTACCGCTGCAACGCAGAGAAAGAGGGCATTGACGCAGAAGCCGCCACTCCGCAGAAAGAAGGTACAATACACACTCACGCACACGTGTCCATACACAACAAAGGAAACACTTATTAGATCACTGTGCGTGTCCATAAAGATGTGCTTTTAGAAAAATCTAAGTAATTAAGAAGATTACATCTAAAGTTTGGGGTCAGTTTGAAATCAATTAATACTACTTTTCAGCAAAGATGCATTAAATTGATCAAAAGTGACAATAAAAATACATTTATGATGTTAAACAAGATTCGTTTTTCAAATAAATACTGTACTTTTGAACTTTTTTATTCATCAAAGAATCCTGAAAAACAAAAAATATGAAGTTTTCAACATTGATAATAATAAAAAATGTTTCTTCAGCAGCAAATCATCATATTAGAATGATTTCTGAAGGATCATGTGACACTGAAGACTGGAGTTTTCAGTCAGCTTTTCCATCACAGGAATAAATTATGTTTTAAAATATATACAAATAGAAAAGTTATTGGAAATTGTTTTACAATATTTCTGTTTTTAACTGTATTTTTGATCAAATAAATCTAGCCTTATTGAACATAAGATGCTTCTTTTAGAGACATTAAAAAATCGTACCGACCCCAAACTTTTCAGCTGTACTTCAGAATGACGCATATTCTGATCAGACCAAAAAGAGTCATCATTTACTTTTTTATGATCATGTTCCACCGTTTTTGACTATTTTATTTTGATACTGTATAGGCCTTTTGGATGGTCAAGTATTCAAATGCATTCATTTGATGTCAGAAAGTTGTGGAAGTTCAGAACGAGGCGTTTTTGCAGTTCTGTTCCTGTAAATGCTCTTTCTGGACTGTGAATGATGTTTTGAGTTTTTTAACTTGCTTTTTATCTCATGTTTGATATTAACTCTTTAAATAAACCTTATAAACACAACTCCCTGAAAGTCAAGTATACAAAAGAGTCAAGCATACACCCATATTAATGATGCAAACATCTCCATGCAGCTCACCTTTATATGCAGCTGCTATCACCTTACCTGAGTTTGATTTAAAAAATGAGTAGCAACAAAGGCCCAAGTGTTACACTAAAACCACCTCCTAAATAAAATCACTGTACGAAATAAGAACACACTGTTTTCATATCCTTTGTATGCATGTGAATCAGTGGGTGGAGCCGCAGCTGTTGTGATGAGCTCTGGCTTCCATCTACAATAACGCTTGCATAATAATTCAGGTTCTGCCTGTAAAGCAGGAACGTTTTTAGGAACGGAGTAAATAATACAATAATCACATCATGTTTTACAGCTGAATGAGCAGAGCAGCAGAGCTGGATTTGGGGTTTTGCTCAGGATGTCAGTGACCTATTTTTTGTGTTTAGAAGAAAAAAGTAGAAAATGGAAGTTAATCATATAAACCACAAGAAGCTGTACATGATGGTTAAACGCTGATGTTAAAGTCCGGAAGTTGCGATAGATTTTTCTCCCCTATTGTGACGTATATCCGTGTGAAACGACTTCTCAAACAAGAACTTGTGTAGGATGGGACTTGATTTTGTCCATGGGAAATTGATTGGATGTTTGTGGTTTGCTATTGGTGGATCTCATGTGAGTGACAGGTTGTCCCGCCCTTACACCAGTAAATACATCATCAGAGAAGAGAGAGATGTCGCTGAACGAGGGAGGGGAAGTTATTTTGATTAAAGATTACAAGGGCACATGACTTTAACCGTCATAAGAATTGTCCATTTTGATTTCAAGATGACTTTAACCCGTCATGTGAAAGCTTATACATGTACAATGTGAGAGAATTATTGCTTTGTTACATATCAGCACAATCTGTATGATAAAAGACACTGATTTTTATGTTTTTTTTGCTCATGCAAAACTCTAGAATGTAGTGGGTGGTTGCCAAGGCGTTGCTATGTGGTTGCTAAAGCATTCTCTCCTTTCTTCATCTATCTTTGAGCAGCATGAGACTCCATCTGTATCTTCTTTCCTCAGATAGATAAATAATTCACTCTGTTCTCTGCTTGTATGCTCTCTAACTGCTGTTACTACACTGTTGACTAGTTCTGATGTTGTCAGTGCCGACTACATCTGATTCACTTTGACCTAAGCAAACACTCACCAAGAGAAGCCTCTATTTGAAGTGTTTTTATATACTTCAGAAGAAGAAAATAGACTATTGGATGACATCATGGACTGTTTATGTAAGAAGCTTTGAGAACATGGTGCATTGAAAATATCACAAGATAGCTACTAGGTGATTAATAATAAAAGTCTTGGCTCAATTGGAGTTTGAAAGCTTCTGTTGTATCAGTCTGGGTTTGATCCAGGACTCGTAGAGATGGTAACGACATCCAGATGAAAGAGGATGATGGAGGTCCCTGGGGTGTAATAGGCTCGAAATCACTTAACAAAGTGAAGACGTTTGCAGTCAGAATGCAGCATTCAATCCGCTGTTGATATTCCCAGTCGATTGTAAATGTTGCCAAATTAAATGTCTTTTCTTGGCACTTTTTATTGTTGCAGCAACGATTACATAAGCACTTTGCTTTCAAGAGCAAGAGAGCACTTCTACCTTGACCAGCATTTCAATACTTCAGTGTGTAACGGTAATCTAAAATATAGCTATTACACATTTCAGATGTGAGATGAATCAGCAAGAGCTCTAATAGATGTCTGAGCATTCGGTGGTCAGCTTTGCTTTGTAAGAAAGGTCTGGTGCTGTATGTACTTAGCTGTGCATGGGCACTGTACTAATAATGTCTCCCGTACCCAATTGACCCAAAATGTCCAAGATTTACCTCCCACACAACTCAGAGAATCCCCATTAGTTGATTGCCTACCAATCCCAGCAACGAGGTAAATCTCGAAAAAGTGCTCACCACCTATTGGCACAACAGACAGCTTCTAACATCTTGTCCTGTGTTTTTGATCCAGTGTTGATTTAGGCAATTTTCTGTCAGTATAATGTGTGTTTTATGCTTTTGTCATCGGTGAGTCAGACTGCTGTTCTGAGATAAAACTATAAAGATGCATTACCCATGCATTAGAAAGTTCAAGCACCATAGGTGTACCAGTACAATTAGTGACAGAGCTAAAAAGAGCCATTTGATGGCTCGCAGCAAGTTTGAAACTAGATTGAAGCCATTAGATAAGACTGTTCTGCAATACATACGTCAAGTTTAGCTGGTAATTTTGTTGTCTGCAACAAATAGATAAACACAGAGATGGAATAACCTCAGAGCCTCACTAACTATATCAGCTGTGGGCTAGAAAGCACACTGGTTATTTTAGAATAGCACAATTATACAGTATAGCTATTACATATAATATATTTGTATACTGGGTATACATAATTAGAAACAAAAGATGATTTAAATTAGTAGGTTTGAGACCAGAAACGTCACATGGTTTGGTGGTTTGTTTGATGGTTTGATGTAACGGTCAGAATTTGTATATAATATAACATTTATAGTGAAAATTTACATATACATTACCGTTCAAAGGTTTGGGGTCAGTAAAATGATATATATTTTTTTAATTAATAAATTAATACTTTTATTCAGCAAGGATGCATTAAGTTAATTTTGCATTTATTTTGAAGCAGCATTATTTTCAACATTGATAATAATAAAAAATGTTTCTTAAGCAGCAAATGAGCATATTAGAATGATTTCTGAAGGATCATGTGACACTGAAGACTGGCGTAATGATTCAGCAAAAAAATGCAGCTTTACCATCACAGGAATTACATTTATTAAAAACAGTTATTTAAAAAATTATAATAATATTTCACAAAATCACTGTTTTTACTGTATTTTTGATCAAATAAATGAGACTTCTTTCAAAAACGTTAAAAAATCTAATCGACCTCAAACATTTGAAGGGTAGTGTATGATATTTGCAAATAAACCGCTTTTATTTCAGACAAATGGAGAAATAAGTGGATATTAGCCATTTTACAATCACATGGATGTATGAGGTAAATTCTCCTCAAGTTTACACAGGTGTCCTAGTAGAGGAAACCTCACATCAACACAATCCACTAACCACAAACAAACACAGTCACACAACACCGACTGTCTTCTTTTTCAACATTAGATCTATTGTTTCATCGTTTCAAACTGTACAGACTTCTTATTGTCAAATTTTTGCTCGAAACTGCGTTGTCTTTCTTCTACATTTTTAAGTGTGACTGAAATGTCCTGGCACTTTCTGGAGCTTCAGTTGATGTGTATCATGAATATGATTCTAACAAAGTGTCTTTGGTTGATCAGAATAATAGAGCCACGCTTGTGCAGTGCTGACGGTTATTCTGGGTGAATATAGCAGAGTGCTGAGTGAGCTCTTCTTCTCAGCGTCCCCAGCTGCCTCGCTGTGGAACTCTGGGATATAGCCGGTTACCATAGAGACCACTGTTAACTGCACACTGTGCACAGTGAGCCTTCTGTATCCAATAGATTCACAATAGAGATGGAATTTGCAGAGTTTAGCATTAGCATGACGACATAAATGAATCCTTCTGTGTCTTCAATGACTCATGTTGAGTTGGCATGTTTCTAACTAACGTGGATGTGGCTAATGAGGACGGCTTCCCTAAACTCTTTTAAAAATAGCACTTAATGACGAGGATGACATCACGACAATCCAAATACACACCCACAGAAGAGTTTTAAATAATGCTTGAGCTTAAAGTAATATTTGTTCACTGTGAATCTCACAAAACCGGTCAAGGCCGTGTCACCATCTCGCCAAAAGAAGGGTTTTGAACCACATTTCCCCCCAAATTCTCAATACTGTAAAGTGGTGTTGTTTTAGTATTATTTATATAATATTATAATATTTAGCCACATTTTGAATCAGCTTTTATTTTTATTTTTTTTAGTCATTTTTTTATGTGCTTTTGACATTTTTATTACCTTTTTTTATTTGAGTTTTAGTCATTTTAGTACATATTTATGTCAATTAGTTGCTAAGGCACCATTTTCAAGTTTTCCGTCTAATATTTATATTTAGTTTAACCCTTATTTCAATTACCGCAAATTATTTTTAATAGTTTTAGTTTTAGTAAATGATAATGACACTGCTGTGAAGTATATTTAAATTGTAAAATATTTATGCAGTAAATATTGATATATTTGTTGTACTTAATTTTAATTCATGCTCATTTTAATAAAAAGAAAAAAAATATTTTTTTGTGCTAGATATTTTTCATTACTATATCCCAGTTATAAAATATTTTTTTTTAATATATTCTTTCTTTCTTTTTTTGTTAATTGTAACTATAATATTTTGGAAATTGGGGTGAAATTGGACTGTGGCATTTATTTATGCAATTCACCCACTTATGTCCTTTTTTTAGATTGGTTTCTAAATAAAAAGACCCTGATATGAAATATAGCAGAAAGTGTTAAACTCTATACTTTGCTCTCTCTCCTCAGCAAACCCTTGTCCATACATCGTTGATGACCCCAATGAAGACACCATAAGCATTTTGGTGAGGCTCATCACAGAGAAGAAAGGTGTGTGTGATGTTTCTCGACACATTTAACTCAACCTTACATCACACTGTGAGTCTTATGGCATCTCAATATGTGTGTTACAGAAAACGCTGCTGCGCTGGAAGAACTTCTGCAGGAATATGAGGACAAACAGATGGCCCTCAACAAGAGCTCATCCATCAAGTAAGAACAACACACACATGCAAACGTACACATCTACACCGATGTCAAAAACTCTCAGTCCAAAATTAAATCAAAACTGAGAAAGTGCAAAATCCAGCTATTTTTTTTATTACACAATATATTTTTCTCCCTATAACAATGGGATTTTTAAGCTGTTTTCTTTCACATTAGTGATACACAGTGCAAGTCATTGTCAACACAGCATCATAAATGACTCATGAAACTTTACCTATAACAAAAGCAAAGACCCATTGTGGTTTAGTTCCTCATACTCTTGAGTCTTTGCCAGGAATATTCCATATATGTTTCACCACAGGAAGTTCTGGAGAAGAATAAAAAGCTTTAGGCATCCTAGATTAACTATGTTTTATTCAGTGTATGGTTTGTTTGTCTTTGAAGAGCCAGACGATTCTCACAATTCCATTTTATGGAAAGGTTTTAAACTTTGAAACGTACACTACCATTCATCTCCAGCTATAATGAATTGTATTAATGGTCACTTCACTTGTGGACTGGAGTTCTGGGAGGAATTCCCAGTTGTGAAACAGGAAGCAGCTTTCCGTTAGCTCAGATATAGATGCAGCTCATTCTTGTAAACTCATTAATAAGGAAAAGGAATCAATGTAGTGTTAGGATAGCTGAGGGGGAAAAGATTGTGCCTGTGTTAATTAGTTGCACTGACAAACATATAAATCATCAAGAAGCAAGTGCTTGTTTATTTTCACACTGCAGCAGTGAGGTGAGGCTCCCTCACCGACAATTTACCATTCTCATACAATCAGATTTACGTCCTAGTTATGCATTTTACAATGTCAAACACATCGTAAGATTCAGAGACAGAGCCTAGTTCACCTCTTTGACACCACAGTTGTACTGTGACCTCTCAGAAACCGGCACAGTGCCATCATCATCAGTGCCGGCTGAAATGACACTAGGTGCCGGCTGCTTAGTTCAAGAGATCCTTTAATTCCAGGCAAGCCAAGAGTGGTGCATTATACAGCTGTCCTGAGAGACCCTCAGGGGACTCTGACATCATCACAGTGGAACTATGGAGGGGGGTGGGGTGCTTTTCAAGCCTCCATGAATGTATTCTGGTTTGTTTTGTACTTCACGACTTATTTTAAGAACTGTTAGAAGCCTCTTTCTGTAGGCCAAGAATCAAGCTTCATTGGTACGATACAAGTGTTTACATTGCCAAAGCATTAATAAACACTGCCATGATGCTAGGAATTTGCTATGTGATTGATTGCTAAGATGCAGTTTAGGACATTGCTATGGTTTTTGGGGTGTTCTGATTAGTTTAGGGTGTTGCTAATGTTGGATGTTTTTAAGTAGTTTTAGAGTGTTGCTATGTACTTGCTAAGGTGTTTTTAGTAGTTTAGCGTATTGCTATGTCCTATGTGGTTGCTAAAGCCAAAAGTATACTTCAGCGGTGCGCACACTGTCCGTAATTGTCCCAAAATCGTAGTATGTTGAAATGAGTAGATACCCGGATGGTCTACTCTTTCCGGTTAGAATCCGAAGTGTAGCTCCGTGCATTCTTAACGGCTAATATTGCCCACAACCCATTGCACGTTGGAAGAGGATTCGATTAGAACTACAAACATGGCAGATGTGCGAGTCCAATGGTTAAGTTGAGAGGTTTTGTCATAAAGTGTGATTTTGAGTGATTATCAGTATCTAACCTGACGAAAAGATATTTATTCGATGTTAGCCACATTATATTTAATCTGCAACAGCATTGTGAATTTTTGTTTGGAAATGCATCATGCAAATTGCAAACACATGAGGAGAGTCTCCGCATTAAAGATGAACGTGCTACTATATTTCTCTTCGAAATGGTAGGAAGGAAATGAAATGAAATTGAATGTGGAGAATTTTAACTGACAAAAGGATTCACAGGGCAGTTTAAACAGTGACAGGATGCACGTAACTAAGCGACAGAGCTGTCCGTTAAAGATGATGAAGTAGCATGTCCCAAAGCTTGCCTCCTCTTCTGCTACACACATTTAAAAGTATGTACTTATTCTTCACAAAAAGAGTACATACTTTTAGGGCGTAGTATAAGTAGGCAAAATTGGGACTCGGCATGACTTGAGCGCTTGAAAACAAAGTCTACTTGATAGTGTACACACACCAAACGTGTCTTTCTGCACTTACGGCCAAAGGAGTATACTTTGAAAGGCTCGCACACTCAACTGTGCTTGAGACGGAGCAAAATGCAGAAAATGAAGTATACCCGGGCTTTAAGGTGTTCTGATTAGTTTAGGGTGTTGCTATGTGGTTTCTAGGGTGTTGCTTAGAGAAGCAACAAGTTGAGCAAAGGGTGATCATGCCAGTGTTACAAGCTTGAATTTGGCTCGCAGCGTTTCCCAGTCCGCTGTACTTTTGAGAAAATTCCAAAAATATATATATAAACTTTAATACACACAAATATACAAAATATGTATATACACACAATACTGATACCAGTTTGTAAGTGTCTGTTTCTTTGTCAGGTTTCCGGCTCTTCCTCATTTCTCCCAGTTCCGTTCGTTGCCCCGGCTGTGTACCCACCAGCATCATTTGCACACTATAAACGGGCTGGCCTCACGCTCCGGGCTCTGCTGTTCCCGCTGCAGTCAGAAGAAATGGCCCGAGCTGCTGCTGCCCGCCCTGGCACTGCCCGCCGATACGCACAAGAGCCCAACTAATGTGGTCAAGACGCCGGAGGTCACCATCCTGTCTGTAGGAAGGTGAGAAAAAAATCCAATGTAAAATATAATTATGTGAATTCTGAGAAGAAAGGCCTTAATTTAATCCCGAATTTGTTGTTGCAATTGAAACATGATAAATCTGTTTTTAGCTTTAATTGTTTTTTTTTTATTAAACATACAGAAGCTCTTTGGCAACACTTTTAGACTTCCCATGTGAAGACCGTCCAAACATTTCCTAAAAAGATAACTTGTTTTGACCAATATCTATTGCATATGTGTTTCACAAATAAGGTAATCCCAGCAGTGTTATATTAGTACTGTTTATTATTATAATTATACTTTTTATTTATAGGCGCATTTACATGGCACTCAAGGACACCTTACAAACACAATAAAACAGTCAACATTAAACAAAAGGATCATTGTTACAGCCTGGATGCAAGCATAAAAGTAATCACATAAAAGCCTGCCTAAAAAGATGGGTCTTAAGGCGAGATTTAATATATGTTTATGTATATTATAGTATTTATTCATATTTTGAATTAGCTTTTAATTATACTTTATTTTAATTTTCAGTTTCATAATCTTAGTTTGTTTTTTATGTGCTTTTGTCAGATGTATTAGGTTTTTTTTTGTGTGTGTTTTTTGGCACCCCCAAAACAAGATCATTTTAATTCACTATTGTGTTAGATCGGAAAAGCATTTAATAAACATTACAAAAAGTAGATTTAGAAATTAATATTCTGATTCAACATCATTCATTAATCAGCCGTTTAATTGAATCGGCAACATTTCAGGTTTTTTTTTTTTTTTAATCTAAATCTAATATTTGTATTTTATTTTATAACTAAATGATTTTTAATGTTTTTAATTTAAGCTTTAGTTAGCAATAATAACTGGATCCCAGAATGCATAGAAATGAGCTAAAATGTAAAATATTCATCCAATGTAGCCGAGTAAAGGGTTAATATTGGCAACAACAAAAAAAAGATTTAATTAAAAAATATTATTTCACCCAATATTGATGTGTATTGTGTAGTTTTTTTATTATTAGAATATGGAGTTATTATTACCTTAGCACTTATTAACTTATGAGGTTCCATTTCACTTAGTATGCTGCCTTAGAAGGTAGCAGCCTATCTAGGCAGTAGATAGCATTAAGTTTTGGAGCAGACCTATACATAAATGATTGATTGAAATGAATGAATCAGTTGCGTTGGTTTGAGATGGGAATTCAGTCTCATTCTCAGATACACACCCAGTTATGCTCACAGTGATGAATCAGGTGCACTCAATGACCTCTGTGTAACCCGTGTGTGAATGGCAGGTTCCAAGTTGCTCAGATCCCAGAAATGAAGTCAGCATCCAAGGAAGTCACCCAACCGGAATCGAGCGATACCGACTCCGTGGATAGTGGCCACACTGAGCCCGCAGAAGAGCGTTCACTGCTGGGTGTGTCCTCTTCCTCTAACTCCTCTTCCTCAAAGTGCAGACAGGAGGTGAGTGACTAAACATGCGGAACAGGAATATTCCTCCAAACGTGTTTTTATAATAGTCCTTTTGGCCCGGTTTGTTTTTGAATTGTAGTTTCCTCTTCCTCTAATCTCTCATTATGGTCTTGACCTAAAGTTCATTGTCTAAGGCCATGCATAAAAATCCTCACAGGATGTCTGGTGCATTTGTCATCAGTAAATGAATGGGAAACACTCAAATCACTTAGTCACAGCTGACTTGTCCGGGTTGGTGAACATCCTGACTGTAGACAGCCGCAATCTTTTAATAATAAATGCAGTGGAGTTGCATTGAGGGGAGGTCAGTTTTTGTTACCTAACAATTTGCCCTCTTGCATAAGAATTTGTGGGGCGGTGGGCTAATGGCTTACATTGACTATCAATAGCTCATGGGATTTACATAAATACCTCAAGGCTTCTCTTCACAATTCATCCTTTCAGCTGCTCTTGGCATCCTTTGTGGGCTCATGGTATTTATAAATGACACAGAACAACACTTATTCAATTGCTTTTCATTTTCATAAAGTCACATGGTTCTGTTTTATTTAAACCTAGTTTTACTTTCTCTAATATGATGTCATTTTGGCCACAAGCTTCAATAGACCCGCTGTTGAAGGTCAACATGGTTAGCATAGTTTGAAGTATTTAAATGTAACAAATTCAAGTGCTTTGGGTAAATAAAACACATATAATGTGTAATAATGGAACATTTTAGTTACATTTATGTATTTGGTAAACATTGTAAGTGTACGTTTGATCAATTCATACATTTTCTGGGAATCAATCCCATGACCTATAGGGCCCTATCTTGCACTCGGCGCAAATGACTTTGTACACTGACGCATGTATCATTCCTATTTTGCACCCGCGCAAAGCGGACTTTTCCCTCCACAGACACACGTCGGTTAACTAAGAAATACACTTGCGCTCCCCGGGGCGGTCCAGCGCAAAGAGGAGGCGTGTTCCGGCGCAAACTTTCCCTCATGCTATTTTGCTGTTCTATAAAACAATTGCGCCACTGACCAGAAAAAACCTAGTCTAAAGTCAGTGGCGCGTTGCGCGTTGTTCATAATGCTATTTTAAGCGCGCATGCTTGGCCATAATCAATGTAGCGTGTGCACAACGCGCATACACTTTGATTCTCTCATCTAAGCAGCAGTTTTCATTTTTGCAAATCATACATTATTACGATAGATAGATAGATAGATAGATAGATAGATAGATAGATAGATAGATAGATAGATAGATAGATAGATAGATAGATGATAGATAGATAGATAGATAGACAATTTATTATAAAAGCATACATGTAGCTTACACATTTACCCAAATTATCATACGCCTGTTTAACAGAAGTTAATTTGGGTGGGTTTCTCCATCCCCAATGTCACTTCTCTGTGTTTTACGGCCCTGACGAGAACGTTGCTCTCCTCGGCTGTGAACCGCTCCTGGCGCGCGCCTGGCAAATCCGCCGTTATAATAGGAATCCGCTTTAGAACAAGCGCGCCTGCTCTTAAAGGGAATGTGAGATGACGCTCTGATTGGTTTATTTCACGTTACGCCCAAACCACACCTATGAATAATGAAGCTACTTCAGACAACCCCTTTTAGATTTGCGCCTGGCGCAAGAGGCATTTATCCCGCCGGGAAAATAGCAACAGCGCCGAGATCCGCCCACAAAGTTACTTGCGCTTTGCGCTTTGACACTTGCGTTTCAGATCGTTAAAATAGGGCCCATAGTGTTGCTTGTACATTAAAGGGGTGGTTGATTATGATTTCACTTTTCTAACTTTAGTTAGTGTGTAATGTTGCTGTTTAAGCATAAACAACATCTGCAAAGTTACAACGCTCAAAGTTCAAAGCAAAGGGAGATATTTTATTTTAAATCAATCTCTTTTTAAGGACTACAACAAACGGCTGGTAGGGACTATGCGACATTCCTCCCGTGATGTCACTAACCCGAAAATGTACATAAACTCCGCCCCCGGAACCCGATTTATAGATTATCAAGACAGAATATGCTAATCAATGACTAGAAGACAGTTAACTCCACATCAGCTACACAAATTCATCAACTAACCATTCAGAAATGTCCTGTGGCATTCTACATGTTGTCACTTCTTCTTGAGTCTCTCCATCTTTCTGACTCCGGTTTGAACATAAAAGGCTAAAAGTCACCCTCACCATCAAAAAGTGACAATTTTAACATGCTATATATAAATATCTGTGTATGGTATTTTGAGCTAAAACTGCACATACACACTCTGGGGTGAGGACATCAGAGACTTATTTTACATCTTGTGAAAAGGGCATTATATGACCCCTTTAATAGGCAATAACTAGATGCAAAGTGTGTCTCAATTGTAGTATTAAAGGTGCTCTAAGCGATGTCACGCCTTTTTTAGGCCGAAACATTTTTTGTCACATACAGCAAACATCTCCTCACTATCCGCTGGCTGCCTGTCCCCTGAACACACTGTAAAAAAACACGGTCTCTGTAGACAGCCCAGGCTACAAACTGACAACAAAAACAAACTGGTCCAACCCGCACCACGAAACATAACAAACAGTGTTCCAGCCAATCACCGACAAGAAGGGTTTGAGGGTGGGGGTTGGGGGGTTAGTGCTCGTGCAACGGAAGGGAGGGGGAGGGTCGAAGGAGGGTTTCTACTACAGCCCGGCAGATTTGAAGATGTAATTGAGTTTGCATCTGTTGAAATTACTTTTAGCATTAGTTTTTAACTTTTACAACACATTATATCTCATTATGTGGCGGTCCATAGAGGGTTAATGATGTTTGTTTGGTGCTTCACGGGTGAATACAGTGACAAATGCGAGGATCTGTTTTGGTTTTCAGCTGTCCTCCGCTCACCCTCTTTTCTCTTCCTCTCAGAGCTGGAGTCAGTTTTTCCACTGGTTCAGGTCATGCCGGGTCAAACAGGAGAAAATGAGTTTCTCTAGTTCCCTCTGGTGGCTGGAACAGTGTTCCAACAAATGTTTTTCTTTTGACAAATGTAGTCAGGAAATCCTTTATATCATATTACTAATATCTCACCACTTCTTTCATTCTCGCTCCCTCTTTCTCAGATAAACATATGAAAGGTTGGAGAAGGACATGCGCTGACAGGACTCGACCTTCGTGCAGATGACATCATCAGTAGGCGACCGATCAGGGCAGATATGTGGTGATGTCAGTTCACCACCTTGAGGAGCCTTGAATTCAAGACCTTAGAAAACATTCGTATTTATTGCATAAGTCATAGAACTATTTTATTAAAATACAATAAGCTCGGTCTCTGCTCACAGATGATAGGAGACCGAATGGCATTTACTCACAACAAGACACTAAAGATGTCTTAAGCGCAGCCTCTGCTGCCGATTGACTTCTCGCACAATCGAAAAAAAACACTCAGAACAACTAGACACTAAAGAGACATTAAGAAGTATTATGAGAAACTAGTTTGATTTACATCTGTTATTTTAATTATTATTATTATTATACATTTTTGTTCGTTTTGTTACTGTAGGTTTGTCTTTTAGTATTTAAGATTTTAAATGAGTTGAATATGTACAGCTATGGTCAAAAGTTTGCAAACACCTTGTTTTTAAAAAAAAAGAATTCAAATAAAACATGAAAAACATGCATACAACTGTCAATTTCTTATACATATATATATGTTATGGTTTAATAAACATTACACCCGTGTTTACACCCGTACCTCATATATTCAAACAATAATACAGGATGTATACAAAAATATTTATTTACTTAAGCAAAGATGGTTTACACTAATTCACAAACTTAAAATCTTTGCTAATCGAGTGAATGTGTTTTATGTGCACAGCAGCCCAAAACCATAAATGTGTGAATGTCATTAATATTAGATTACAAAGTTCAGATTAAATATGAACCTGTTCCATTAACAACTGTCACGGGAGGGTGCTATAGAGTGCACGAATACCAAGTATGCAAGGAAAGTCTTTAAATTCTATAATCCACAGGATACAGGGCAGAAACACTGGGCAACCAGAAACCTTCAGCTCATCAGCTTGATTCAACAGCTTTTAAAAAGCTTTTCTCTAAAACAGCTAAATGAAGCAATGTATCTTACAATATACCACATAAATCTGAGGACAGACAGCTGAGAACATCTCTAAAAATAGATTTATTGCTCCTTTTAAAAGTATTATCATTAAGAACATTTGTAGTGCCTCAGCTCAGACTAGCTGTCTGCTTCTTTGCTATATACAGTAACAGTTAAAGATAGTATTAGTGCTTAACCTTTTGCATGTCAGATTGCTCGCTTTATCAAACGTGTTGGAAATTAGGCCACACACACTGCACACCTGTTTCAGGAGAGACAACCCCATTTTAAATACAGGAGTGAGTCCCCTAAATTCTCGTTCTGTGTGTACGGAACACGACTCAATCCGGAAATTGCAATGATTGACACTGTGGTGACTATATGTTCTGGCGTCAGTGTTCTGGAGTACAGTTTCCTGTCAGATTCCAGACAGCAACATAGTGTCGGCCCAGAACACTATGTTGCTGTAAAAAAGACGTTTAGAAAATGTCTTTAAGATGTTTATTATTTAGAATGTATGTAAAACTACTTTTTTAAAGATGTTTATCAGATGTTTTGCACAACACAGATGTTTTCCAAATAAAGCACTCTTTAAATGACATCTTGGAGACGTATGTGTGCCATCTGTATTTTAACCAGATTAATATTACAGCAACCAAAATGTCGTGCTGTTTTGTTATTTTAACCAAATAACCCTCAACAGGGGAGGTGTGTTTCGTTTATGTTCGGAAGTGTACTTGAATGATCATATCATAAGCGTTGTTAGGCTTGTTGTTTGGGCTTGACTCATAAGCGATCAAGTTTATGACGTTTTAAAGTGGGAAGGTGCGGGTCGCAATTTGGTCCTGGTTTCAGTGTGCATCCGTTTTCCCCCCCGGTTTATTATAGGCTTGTTCTTGTTCACTGTTTTTCTAGCAAGATCTGGCATAACGAATGAGTCAAGGGCCTGCTGTGATTAAGTGCACACGGAAGAGAGACACATCTCTGATCAGTGTGCTTTTAAAATATGGCATTAACAACTCGTTCTGTTCGGTTCCGTACACACTGCCTTGAATTTTTGTAAATGGGGTTGTCATTACCTGAATTTCTCGGAAGTAATAGCACGTTCAACCGTGAAAAATACCAGCGCACTCACTTTTTCAGTGGTGCGCTGGTATTTTTTCCATTTTTTTTTTTTTTCATAGGGATTTAAAAATATATATTCTTTAAAGCGTTATAAACCAATAACCAATTAAGCCAACAGAAAGTGAATAACATGACAAACTTTGATTTAAAGCAAAAATGTATGTATTTGAAAAACTGAGGGGAAAAAATACAATCCAATGATGCCTGCATCAAATAAAAAATTATAGAGAAATATGAAACGATACTCATTTACAACTCATTAGTTGATTATGGGAGCACTTTCCCCATGTCGCCTACATGTATGTACTATGTATTTTTAGATACAATAACTGGGTAATAAGTTCCTTGAACCTACTGGAAAACATCAGTCATGTTGAGGTGTGAACGTAACCTCCATATCAAGATCTTCCTCTTACAGGATGTATAGCGGAGTGTTCGTCACACAGATGATCAGAAACAAGACGCTACAAGAGCTTTTTGCATTCAAAGCTGAATTTCCTTCTTCCATTATATTTATTGATTTTTCCGTTGCAATTCAGATGAAGCAAGGCTACTCAGGGGTATAACATCACAGTTCTTTTACTGACATTAACATGCACATTTTATATAAAGTGAATTTTTATACGATAATATGTTTGCAATCATTTCTTGAATACCACATAGTCAGAGCCAGACATAGACCGCTGTTTGCAAAGATGAAGTAGAACGACAAGGTAAGGGGAAAACTCTGGACTTCCTCTGGATATCTGTATTGTTGTTGCTTTTATTTATTATCATTCAAATAATAATGTTGGTTTTTCTTTATATTTATACTCTTAAAATAAAGAACTTTACAGCAGTATTTGAGATCTGGAAATTCATTTATATGTGCAATAATTTGGTAATATATACTATTCAGAAGTTTGGGGTTGGATTTTTTAAAATGTTTTTGAAAGAAGTCTTATGCTCACCAGCATGAAGTTTGACTTTTCCCCCGCCAAAAATACAGTAAAAACAGTAATATTGTGAAATATTATTTTGTAGAAACTGTTACACATTTTTGAAAGTAGAATAGATTTTGAGATGAATAGAAATTTCAAAAGTTAAAAAAAAAATATGTAAAAGTCTTTACTGTCATTTTTGATCAATTTAATGGATCCTTGCTGAGTAAAAGTATTAATTACTGTATTGATTCACTTAAAATAAAATAAAAATTAATTCACACTTCAATGCAGAAAATAGAATAAACTAACATCTTCATTATATTAATTTGAGCATATTATTCTATAATCTCACATGCTATTGTATGGATGTCAATCGTTTCATAAAATATCCTGATGATTAGGCTACCAGGAAATTGTTACAGTAACAAACAATATATCTTAATCCATTAACAAAAAATTTCCTGTCATTTTTTCACTTTTACATTACATTTAAAGTGCAATAAAGACAAAAAATACAGCCTAAATTTAAACATGCCTTCTCTAAGATTGATATAATTATTCCATTAACATATGATACCGTCTCTGATCGCATGCAGCCATGCATGCATATAATTGCAATTTGTGCAATATTCCAAGTCTTCTCATGCAAACTAGTAGATTTGTGTAAGGAACAAACCAAAGTCATGTCATTCACACTTCCACATGTTCAAAGTTGACCACCATGACTTTGTCTCCACACCATAAATGGAGTATGCGCTCTTAATACATTATATGGTTCCATTTAGAAACTTTAACATCCATGAAACCTATTGCACAAAAGATTATATTTTATAGGCTAGTGGAAAAAATGTCTTTACACTGAGGGAAAAAACGGTTCTTTTAAGAATTCCTCACTGAAAGTTTCTTTGAGGAACCAAAAATGTTTTTTTTCTGTGGCATCGCGAAGAAAACCCCCTTTTGAAATCTTTTTTTTTTTATCGAGCTTTTTTCCCCCCAAGATCTTCATCTTCACTGTAAGGTTGAGAGGGTTTTATCAGAATTCTTGATGGATTTTCTGAAGCTCTGCCCTGCCATGAAGTAGAGGATGGGGTCGATGCAGCTGTTGATACTGACCAGAGGTCGCGTGGCTTTGTAGGCATTGTTGGCGAGCTGAAGCATGTTGCATTTATTTGGGTCCAGGTAGCGGAAGGTGTAGTATATACTGCGGTTCACATGAAAAGGCAGGAAGCACAACATGAAAGCCAGAAGCACAATTATGATCATCTTCACCGACTTCTGCTTGGAGCATTGTGACATTGGTCCTTCGCCAACACCGGGTTCCTGAAGTTTCCTCACCATCAGCCCGTTGCAGACTAGCACCACCCCAAATGGTAGGACAAACAGCAGGAACATCACCACCGAGCTGTAGACCAGAAAATCATTGAAGAGCTCTTTGCTGGTGGTGTCGTGACAGATCAGAAGGTCACCATTACGTCTCGTCCTGGAGAAATAAAGGATCGGGGCCTGGAAGATGAGTATGATTGCCCATATTCCCACAGAGACCAAACGAGCACGATGACCGTTCATCCAGGACAAAGAGCGAACCGGATGGCAGATGCCTAAAAATCGGTGCAGGCTGATGCAGCTGAGGAAGAGGATACTTCCGTAGAGGTTCGTGTAGAAGAGAAAGCGAATCAGCTTACACATCGGCTCGCCAAAGGGCCAGTCGTTCTCATCAGCATAATAGTAGATCAGAAACGGAAGCGTGAGGATGTAAAGAGTGTCACAGACGTTGAGGTTGATCATGTAGATGGTGCTGGGCTTCCAGTGTTTGGTTCGAAACAAGATGACGTACATGGCGGTGATGTTCAAGCCCAGGCCGACCACAAACACCAGACTGTAACTCACCGGGAGAAGAATGTACTTGAATTCTTCTTTTAAAGGACAACGATACTCACTTTCATTTTTTGGTAGAGTATCGTTAAGTGTTGCCATTCTGAACCAGATCTGTTAAAAAATAAGACAATGAAACAAGGGGAAATTATATTTAATAGGAAGCTTAAATTTACATGTTAATATTATATTATGTATAAAAACACAGATGAAAATGCTTTTAATCATCTCCTGTATGTCAACAAAACAACGTTAGCATTAAAATGACCCTGTTTTATGATGGAAAGAGAGAATAATGGCAAAGCTGCCACAGAATGAAAGCATTTTTTCAGTAGTGGTCATTGCAATGAATTGGGTTGGAAAATATATCGGCGATGTAATATATGAATGTCATATAAACTGTCAAGACCACATTTCATATTCATATTTCATCTCAAAAGTAAAAACAATATTTTGCATTAAAAGGAAGGTTGTTCGTTGGACCATTATGATTTTTGTGGCATTATTTTCATTAAAAAAATTCTATATATTTAAATATAGGCTACCTCAGTGTAGTAGTTTTTGTATTTACTTACAGTTTGTCTCAGTTGCTTTTTTTCTTTTTTTTTGCCAAGTTTTGTGCATACACAAACACAAGACAAACAACCACAATGCCTATCAGAAAGCCATCCCTGTACAATGCAACAGCCTACAAATATTCACCACTTTTCTTTAAAATAAAAGATATAAAATAAAATAAATGAGTTATTTGTGCTACAAATTATTGTCCAGAAGTGAACTGCAGTGTCCACACATCTCAGTCATTGTCATCTGTTAAATCCAAATCTTTGGCATATTCAATAAAAGTATTCCAGATATTCTCAAATAGTTCTTGTTTGCCTTTTAGCACATATGTAATTCTCTCTAGTGGCAGAGCAGACAGCATCTGCCGTAACCAGAAAGTGCCTCTTGGTCTACATGTTTTTTTCCAAAATAAAGCTATACATCTTTTGGCATTAAACAGACTAAGGTCTATAAATGTACGTTCATTTTTAGTATAGTTATGCTTCTCTGGATATAAGCCCAAAAGAAACAATTTTGGTTCTAATATTATTTGTTTGGAAATAATATTTTGAATAATGTCTCTTATTTCTCCCAAAAGAGTGTAATTTTTGTACAATGCCACATACAGTGAACCAGTGTTCCTTTACATTGGTTACACTTTGAACACACATCAGGAATAAGTTTCCATTATATCGACAGAGTTCCACTGGTGTCACATATGTTCGCATTAACCATTTAAATTGAATAACTTTAAGACAAGTATTCATTGATGTTGTGTGGGCTAAAGTACATGCATCCTGCCAGTCTTCCTCTGAAAGTTGCTATGATAAATCCTCTTTCCAAGCTCTAAATCTATCCTGAGAACTTTCAGGAACGTAGGACATAATCAGATTATAGAACTGAGAAATAATGCCTTTCTTTTGACTATCTTTTAACAACATTTCTTCCAAGTCTGAAGTAGTGGGTTTCGTTAATACATTGTTTTGACTTGCTCCTATAAAACTCCTGAGTTGGAGATATTTAAATAAATGTTTTTTATCTAAGTTAAATTTATCTTGTAATTCTTGAAAGGTCATTAGTATGTCAGATTTTGGCAAATACACATCTCGAACCATTCTCAGTCCCTTGGTGTTCCATAACTTAAATGTTGCGTCTGCCCTGCCTGGTGGAAAAGATTGGTTGCCCCATAATGGACTAAATTGAGACAGACAGTGTGGATCTTTCAAAAGTCTCTTAACATCACTCCATACTTTTATCATGTTTTTAAGAATTGGGTTTTTAATTTCTCTTAATAGTTTTTTTTGTTGTATTTGAGTATATATATGAGGGAAGAGGTATGTTCAATCCTTGTGATTCCATTTCTATCCAATGTGGTGAATGATTAGTATAATAAAACATAGACCTTAGTTGCGCAGCCCAATAGTACAGCTTGAAATTAGGACATTTCAAACCTCCACGTTCATAAGGCAAGTAGATTAAAGACAAACGAAGTCTTGCCCTTTTATTATTCCAAAGAAAACGTATAAACATTTTTTTCATTTGTGAGAAAAAATCAAGAGGGGGTGGGAGGGGAATGTTCTGAAACAGATATAGTAGCTTTGGAAGAATGTTCATTTTTAAAATGTTAATTCTCCCAATTATAGATACTGGCAGCGGCATCCATCTATCAACTGAATTTTGTATTCCTGTTATTAAAAGATTGTAATTTTCCTCAACTATTTTTTCTAAACTTGGTAAAATCTGTATCCCCAAGTACTCAAATTGTGTCACAACATTAAACTGTATAACATCTTGGATTGGGTTTGATCTTTCATGTTTTATGTAAATGTAAAATAGAAGACTTAGTTTTATTGAGTTTGTAACCTGAAATTTCACTAAATAACTGGATGACTTCAAGAATGATCCTTATTGATGTGCTTGGATTCGAAATAAATAAGATCACATCATCTGCGAACAGAGAAATCCTATGCTCAGTTGGTCCTACTGTAATTCCACTGAGTTGGGGATGGGAGCGTATTGCAATTGCAAATGGTTCTATTGCTAACGTGAATAATAAAGGCGAGAGCGGGCAGCCTTGTCGGCACCCGCGTTTTATTGCTATCGGTTGAGAAATATTTCTATTAGTGATGATTACAGCAGTGGGGCTGTCATATAATATTTTGACCCATTTGATCAAATTATTACCACATCCAAATTTTTCTAATACCCGGAAAAGATATGGCCATTCAATCCTATCAAAGGCCTTTTCGGCATCTAATGATAGAAGAGCTGTATTTGGCGCATCCTGTTTACAATGAATAATTGTCATGATCTGGCCTTCTTGTCCTTGATTTCCTCTGGTCTTGAGGCTGGATCATGACAGACCCGTGTTTTGTGTACAAGCGCATGGCCAATTGCTTGGGCCATGTGCTTGTGTTGTCTCGTTACGTTACCCCGCCCCCTTGTTATCCTCGTCTCGTCATTATTGTCTAGTCAGTTTCACCTGTCCTTGTCTAGTCAGCTTCACCTGTCTTTGTCATTAGTGCCTCCCTATTTTATCCCCTTGTGTTTGCTGTCCTGTGTCGGTACATTGTCAATCTGTGCGTGTTACTCTTTGTGAGAGTCCTGTGAGTACTTAGTCTGAATATTGTATTAAGAATTGTGAGTTTATGTAGCTGTTTGTTTTCTTCATCTTGTCTTTATCAGTCAGTATCTAGTCCTAGTTTATTTCCTGTCTTAGTCTAGTTGTACTGCCCCATCTGTCCTGTTTTGCCCCCTCGTGGGTTTTTGTTTTCTGTTTTGTGCCTAAATAAATCCCTGTTAGTCTGCATTTCGTCTGCGTTTGGGTTCACTCTTCAACCTTATGACAGAATGTACCGACCAACAAAGAACCCAGCAGACAGTATGACCTCCCAACTCCAGTTCCAAACGGAGTTCCGTGAGCGATGCTGGTTGTCCGCACCAACCAACGGAGAACGGGTCATTTGCCCTATCCCGTCCCAGGGTGAGCAGATCATGAGGGATTATGCCCGCCTCTGGGATCATTTTTCCCGGGAGGTTCCGCAGGCTTCTTCCTCGGGCTCTCCACCTTCTGCCTGCCAGCTATTCCCGAGGGTCGAATGATAGGCGTCGTGACGCTTGGGGATCAGGCTGGCGCCCTCACGACTCCTGGCACTTCATCTACCCCCTTCCGTCTTCGAGGGAAAAGAGGGAGGCGAACCTCGTGGGACTCTCCTTCAGAGTCCTCAGCGTCGGAGTCTATCCTGCCAGAGATAACCCCTTCTTCGCCCGACACAGTTCCCGCCGTGCTTCCCCAACCCGTCTCAGCTCCGGTGATGGTCACTGCTTCTCGACCTAGGAGAAAGAGGAGGAAGAGGGGAGCCTCCCATTCTTCGCCTGCTGCAGTCACAGAGCCCGCTGCAGTCACAGAGCCCGCTGCAGTCACAGAGCCCGCTGCAGTCACAGAGCCCGCTGCAGTCACAGAGCCCGCTGCAGTCACAGAGCCCGCTGCAGTCACAGAGCCCGCTGCAGTCACAGAGCCCGCTGCAGTCACTGAGCCCGCTGCAGTCACTGAGTCACTGAGCCCGCTGCAGTCACTGAGCCCGCTGCAGTCACTGAGCCCGCTGCAGTCACTGAGCCCGCTGCAGTCACTGAGCCCACTGCAGTCACTGAGCCCGCTGCAGTCACTGAGCCCGCTGCAGTCACTGAGCCCACGGCAGACAGCGCTTCTTCCGGTTCTGATTTGAGCGCTTCATCGGAGTCTGTTTTCATGTGTGCCGAGTCTGATTCTGTGAGTTCGGTTCCCGCTCCACAGCCGTCTGCTACGTCCCCTGTTATGTGTCCTGTTCCTTTTCCCGCTGTTTCCCCAGTCAGGAGTCTTGTCTCGCCACCCTCCGCTTCCCCTGTCGTGATTCCCTCTCCGTCGTCCACTGTACCTCCTGTCCCTAATCAACCCCAGACTGTTTCCTCCAAGACCCCTCTTGTGTCCCGATCCAAACCTGCCCGGATTCCTCGCCCTAAGCCCTCAGCCCGTTTTCCGAAGAACCCCAGCACACCCATCCACCCTGGACCACCCCCCATGAACTCTGTGTTTCCTCCGCCACCTCTTCCTTGTTTGTTATTTTTATTGTTTCATCCTAACCCTGCTGTTGTGTTTTCGTGTTTGCCACTACTGTTGTTTGTCATGTTTTGTTGGTTTGTGTCAATGTCACAATCAGTCTTGTCTGGTAGCCGCTCCTTAAGTGGGGGGTTCTGTCATGATCCGGCCTTCTTGTCCTTGATTTCCTCTGGTCTTGAGGCTGGATCATGACAGACCCGTGTTTTGTGTACAAGCCCATGGCCAATTGCTTGGGCCATGTGCTTGTGTTGTCTCGTTACGTTACCCCGCCCCCTTGTTATCCTCGTCTCGTCATTATTGTCTAGTCAGTTTCACCTGTCCTTGTCTAGTCAGCTTCACCTGTCTTTGTCATTAGTGCCTCCCTATTTTATCCCCTTGTGTTTGCTGTCCTGTGTCGGTACATTGTCAATCTGTGCGTGTTACTCTTTGTGAGAGTCCTGTGAGTACTTAAACTCACAATTCTTAATACAATATTCAGACTATGTAGCTGTTTGTTTTCTTCATCTTGTCTTTATCAGTCAGTATCTAGTCCTAGTTTATTTCCTGTCTTAGTCTAGTTGTACTGCCCCATCTGTCCTGTTTTGCCCCCTCGTGGGTTTTTGTTTTCTGTTTTGTGCCTAAATAAATCCCTGTTAGTCTGCATATCGTCTGCGTTTGGGTTCACTCTTCAACCTTATGACAATAATATTTAATAATCTCCGTACATTGTGGAAGCCCTGCCTTCCCACGACGAATCCATTTTGATCTTGATTTATTACATAAGGGAGAGTATTTTGTAGTCGTTTTGCTAGTAATTTAGAAATGATTTTCAAATCTGAATTTAAAAGACTAATGGGTCTTAGATTCTCACATTTATCTAAAGGTTTTCCTGGTTTAGGCAAGAGAGTAATCAAGGCTTTATTCAATGGAGGAAGAATATTCGATTGAAAGATTTCTTCAAACATGTCCAATATAGGTACCAAAAGTTTATTCTTAAATTTCTTATACAGATCTATAGGAATGCCATCAGGCCCTGCTCTTTTTCCAGATTTCATGCTGTCAATGGCTTGTCCAATTTCTTCTATTGTAAATTTTGAATTTAAATTAACTCTATCTTCCTCTCAGTTGCTTTTTACATTTCTCAGATCACGTCTCGGTTACGTATGGTAACCCTCGTTCCCTGAAGGAGGGAACGCAGACGTACGGCAGACCGACTTATAGGAATCTCGCCAGAGAGCCAATCTACTTTTAGTGTAACTAAACGAGCCAATGCACATTAGCATGCAATCATTTGCAGCTGCTCTGGGACATGCGATGGGAGCGTAGACCACCTTGCCGGTTGATGTACGCAACGGTCGCAGTGTTGTCCGTATGGACCAGTACATCCCTGCCCTGTAGCGGTCTCTTTAAGCGGCTCAGAGCGAGACGTACTGCCATCAACTCGAGGCAGTTGATGTGCCAATGCAGTTGGGGGCCCATCTACACCCCTGACACTGCATGCCCGTTGTACATGGCACCCCAGCCGGTGGCAGAGGCATCTGTGACCACCACAGCATGCCTGGACATCTGTTCCAAGGGGACTCCTGCCCGTAGAAAAAAGGGGTTTGACCACGGGCTGATGGTCTGGCAGCACGCAGGTGTGATTGCCACCCAGTGAGTGCAACGTTGCCATGCCCATCCCGGGACTCGGCCGTGAAGCCAGTGCTGAAGCGGTCTCATATGGAGCAACCCGAGCGGTGTTAAATATTTCAGTGGGACCGCCGTCCTGCCTTTGAAAGTATTCAAGCAGTTCAGCACCGTCCGAGCGCGTTCCTCTGTGAGGCGTGCTGTCTATGCGACCGAATCCAACTCCATACCGAGAAAAGAGATCCTCTGCACGGGGGAGGATTTGCTCTTTTCCCAGTTGACCTGAAGACCAAACTGGCTGAGGTGACTGAGCACCAGGTCCCTGTGTTCTCATAACTGATCTTGAGAGTGTGCCAGTATGAGCCAGTCGTCGAGATAGTTGAGGATGCGAACGCCCTGTTCTGACTTTCGTAAAGAAGCGGGGGAGACAGGGACAGCCCGAAGGGCAGGGCCTTGTACTGATATGCTCGACCCCCGAACGCAAAGCGCAGAATCGGCCTGTGTCGAGGGAGAATCGAGACATGAAAGTACGCGTCCTTCAGGTCGATCGCTGCAAACCAATCTCGGGGACGGATGCATTCGGAGATGCGTTTGCCCCTTCTGTGTGAGCATTTTGAACGGTAGCTTGTGGAGACTCAAAACACAAGATTCAAAACTCGCAGGTCCAAGATGGGTCGTAAACCACCGCTTTTCTTGGGTACAATGAAGTAGGGGCTGTAAAACCCTGAGGTCGGTCTTGGACACGGGGGAGTAAAGGAACCTGACTTTGTCGGTATCATGTCCTCCAGACCCAGCCAGACCCTCCAGACCGTTCCTGGACCACCATCGTGGACATCGCACGACCCACCGACCGTGCGGTCACCTTTGTCGCTCGAAGCCCGAGGTCCGACGCGGAACGAAGTTCTTGGAGAACTTGGGGATCATGACCACCCTCGTGGAGGTCCTTCAGTGCCTTGGCCTGATAGATCTGCAACAACACCATAGCATGTAAGGCAGAGGTGGCTTCCCCACAGGCCTGGTAAGCCTTGCCAGTTAAGTCCGACGAGTGCTTACAGGCCCGGGAAGGGAGACACGGCTCCCCCCGCCAGGTGGAGTTAGGGAGCAGTTGCATAGCAACAGCCCGCTCCACTGGAAGGATGCGCATGTAACCCTTAGCCACCCCGCCATCAAGGGTGGTGAGGAAGGAGGAGCCACTGGAACGGTTTCTGGCAGAAAAAGGTGCCGTCCACCCCTAAGGCTACAGCGGGTTCCTCCTTCCCTCCGGCTCCGCCTCTGTCTCATTCCTCTGGCACTCTGGTTCCACATCAGACGCTCATTGCCAGCGATGGTCTCCAGTGCCAGCGATGTCGCTCAGTACCATCGGCTCTTCTTCTGCGCCCTGGGATCCATCGGCTCCTTCTATGTCGGTCGTCCCCCGGATGTTGTCGACCATAACAGCATCTTGGCTCCTCCCTCCCTCGACTCCGCCGTGGGCTGTCGTCACTGCCAAGCTCTGGGTCTGCTGCATCGGGCACTCTCCTTCATTGTCGCTAGGGTTTAGATGTCATCCTTCTATCACCATCCCTCCCCCGCCTTCTATCTCCATCCCTTCGCCTGCTCCTCGCCCACCTCCAGAGGCCTCACCTTCCCTCTACTGTCTGTTGCGGTGCGAGGTCGCACCTTTTCGGAGGGGCGTAATGTCACACTTATGTTCAGTTAGTTTGGTTTTCATGGACTTTTAGTTTGTATTCATTAGTCACGTGTTCCTTTGTTTGAGTTTCCGTCACTCATCTTCATCACAGTTGTTTGTTATTTAGTTAATTGCCATGTGTATTTAAGTTACTCACCTACACTCAGTGTTTGCCCAGTCTTGTTTGAGTTTGTGTTGCTACTACCTTCTGTTATTTTGCCTGTTGGATTATTATTAAACCCTGCATTTGAACTTTATCCTAATCCTCATTCGTCTGTCTGGAACCGTGCTAACAGTGTGGTGCTGTTTGTACAATTTGTTTTGAGAAATGCACGGTTTGCAAATGTTAAGGACATTCAAGAAGTGTTTCAAAGTGACTGAGAAAAACTGTAATGCTTTCATTATTAAATAGAAAATAATATAATTTCAAATAAAGTGAAATGTATGTCCAAACAGCATTTAATTCTTTCTTCTTCTTTTTTTTTTTTTTTTTTGCATTCTGGTATTGACAATTTGGGAGATAATTTGTATAAGTGCAAGCAGATAGATAGAGTGATTCTGATTTTGCTCCCAAATCCTGGTATTGCTTTTTATCATACATTTTGTATATAAATAAAAAAAAATTAACTTTCTGTCATGTTGCAATATTTAAATGGAATAAGTGATCATTATGACATCTGTCTATAGGATCATAGACCACACATGCCATTCTCTAAGAGGTGGTAAATGTCCACAAACCGCACACACCCATATTGATACTGTCATGCATATGGCAGACTACAAATATTCCCGGAAAATTGTTCTTAACAGAGCGTCAAAGTAATTTCAAATGGCTTTTTCCAAACTCAGCGGATGCACAAATGAGCTTTTAAAGTACAAAATGGTTGTTCTGCTAATCACACAGCCTGATAGCACTCTCATTTATGCCACAAAATAACACATCATATCGATCAGTGAAGCAAATCAAGCCACAAAGTATCTTCAGAATCTCCTGAGAATGTCCTGAGAACTTCCTCTCTACATCAGTTGCCAGATGATGTTTTAATAAAAGCTAATTTCACAAAAAGCCTGAACACACTTCACACACTCTAACCTTTTATATATCTAAAAATCTAGATATTTGTTGTATGTGTGTATATATACAGTATACACACACATATTATATATATATATGTCTAATAATATATACACATTTATTATATAAACACAAGACACATGATATATATATATATATATATATATATAATGCTTTTATTATTCGATTATTTCATTATTAAAGCAGACACATTATTTATTTATTTGTTTATTTGAAAAGGGACAATCTACACTGATCAACATTCAGAACAAATGTAAGCGTACCCGAGTTAGCCACAGGCTAGTTTTCATCGGCAGTCCCCTTGCCAGATGTTATTCGGCATCCTAAAACTGTTATAATGCGATACAATTGCTATATACAATTGCACATGCTATATATATATAGGCTATATATATCATGTGTCTGCTTTACATTTTGTATAATGCAATACAACATTTTTCAGTATAAATTATATTATCAATTGCTTTACTGTCATAACTATTGGAGCTGACATAACTAAAACATCATGGTCATGTTCTTCAGGAGGATTTGAGAATCTTGAGAATCATAAAGCAAAAAAATCTGCTCGTGTGTGCAAAGAATCACAAGTTCAATGTAATTTTATTAAAATGGTCTTAGACTTTTGAACTCCATATACAGTATACAAATTTTTACATCTTTATATTGCAGAATGTCTAATGTTTTTAGGATGAATCGTTGTATTTTACCACTCATTATTTTTAAGTCAATTAGTAAAGAATTATCCTCTAAATTAATTAATGATAAAAAAAGATACTCCACAAAGGAGGCATTTTGATTGTTTTATCTTTGTACCAAAAGAAATCATAGGAAAGTCCAATAAGCATTACATAATGTAACAAATTATAGAAAATTTTTTGTAAACTTCACATTTTTAGTAAGTAAAAGAAAAGTAAGTAACATACTCACATGTGTTTTCGGCAGATACTTTCAGGAATTCCCCCTCGTGTTCTTTATACCTGCACAGTCCTGCTCTTGCTCTGCTTGTTCATGCTGCATTTCTTCATTGTGGGCGGTACTTCTCATGTCAACACACCTAAGCCAACTCCCGTTGGTCAGAACATCAGTCAATGACATGCCAATCACTGCTGAGAGCTTCACACAACTAAAAGTAGGGCTGTCAAATCGATTAATCGCATAGCATAAAAGTTTGTAAATATACAATATGTGTATATGTGCTATACAAGCAGCACATTGACTACCCTAAAATATATCCAAGTTTCATTTCTATAGTATTGTCCCTTGAGAAGATATACTAAAATGTTTGCTGAAATGTGAGGGCTGTTCTCACTTTTGTGAGATACTGTATAAACTTGTATGCTAGATGCGATTAATCACGATTACTCAGTTTGAAAGCACTAGTTAAAGTTAGTTCACTAAACAGGCTCCCTAAAAAACTCTCAAGCCCTGCCTCCAGTCTTTCATTGTTCATGTAAACATGTAAAGCATTGGTTGAGCCAGAAGTTCACGGTCAGACCAGTGAAACAAAACACTGTTTGGAATGGAACACTGCACCATATACTGCCAAATATTTTAATAAATATTATGTGAAACAGGATGCATTATGAAACAAGTTTCAAAAATGCTACATTATTGTCTCTGTGTAAATTATTCTAAAATGTGTATACTGTCTACAGTATTTACTGTGTACTGTAAAAATGATAAGAGTAGGCTAGTATGGTATATAATGCTATTCCGATCATAGCATAGAGCAATTTCAATCTGTGCCCAATTCATATTGTATCCATTCCAAATAGTACACAATTATTGTGTAATTATAATAGACTAAAAATAGTATGCCAAAGGAGACTGGGTGATATACAGAGGATTTTTGAAGTATGAATCTGTGTATGCTTTTTCAGCTTGACTTGTGCAACAGATGAAATTTGTTTGTGAAATTAAAGCACCATTCCCAACAAAACATGTTTCCTTTGAAACATTTCGATTAAAGAACTAAATGAAGACATTTTTCTTAATGAATTTTATTTTACAACTTAGTGCAGACCAGGAACATGACAAAAATATCAACATCCACTTTTTATTACACTTCACCCTTCTGTTAGCTCAGTTGTGATAAAACTATCTAATACGATTTACATCTTTTATATATATTAAGACATACAGTATGTTAAGAATATGAAAATGTATCGCATATGAATGATGTTCAGTATGTATGACAGTACCTGAAAGGGAAAATCAACGTAGATCAAGTTCATATGTTGGTTAATTTAGCTTAACTTGGACATAGATGTAAAATTGTAGAGCAATACCAAAGTCATGGGTTCACCGTATGAGAACAAAGCCTAACCTTTAATGTACAGTAACTTAAGATACAAGTAATTCTTATTGTAACATTTGTGTTAGCTTTGAGAATGCAACGCCACAAAGTGCCTAATGTAACATATTAACATATACAGTTAACATTCAAATCGCATGATGTCCCATTTTCTTGATATTTACATTTATTTTCAGGCATTTATTTTACATTTATGTTTCCTCAATGAAAGTTGATTTATTGATAAGTGATCTTTTGCTTAAAACAAGAAAAAAATCGTTACAATTATGTTATTCTCTAAAAACAAGTCTATTATAGGCCTATTTACGGCAGTGACAACCGGATTCTATAACCAGATTTGGACATCATCTTCAAAGCTGAAGTATGTAACTTTTTCGGTGTTAAAGCCTACTTTCCTATCCCATCTTAATATGCAGAGAGATAGGCCATTCTGATGTTAATCCAATAACTGTGTATACAGACCATAATCCTTTGACTTTTCTCTCTAACATGTCCACAGTCCACGGGACAGAGGATTTAAGTGTGCTCTTGCCTTTCTTTTCCTCACTTTTTTAAAAGCTTTTTCCTTTGTTACCTCCCCTCCTGACCCATAGATGGGTAGGGGACGTCTTTTCCTACACAACAACATGTACTTGACCAATGGCGTGTGTTTGGGGGCGGGATTATCTGTTTACTGTTTTCGGAAAGTTGTTTAGAAAATATTTATGTTTATTTTTGCAGTTTCGTTCGGTGACGCTATTAGCACTGAAACGACATCAAACTTCAGCTTTAAGTTGCCTATATATCATAGATTGACTTTATATGGAAGTTTTTCCTAAAAAAAAAAAAGGATGATAAATCAAATGCTCAAATAATAAGTACAATTCTCAAAATGTACATTTAACTTAGATTCCATCTCAAATCCCAATTCACAAATTCCTTTACTTTGCTGATAAAGTGCAAACTTTAAGTACATATGTTCTGCTATGTCAGAACGCCACCTCACTATTGGCCGACGCTGGTCAGGTGAGCACCACGACACATGCGTGTGATGCTGACGCAGGAGCTGGCCAATAGTGAGGCGGTGTTCTGACGTAGCAGAACATGTACACTACGTCAACATTGGAGGAGAATGACGTGGAAGAGAAGAGAAAGAGATTGTTGAATAAAGTCATTATTTTTGGGGGATTTGCACACAAAAAGTATTCTCGTCACTTCGGAACATTAAGGTTGAACCATAGTCACATGGACTATTTGAACAATGTCTTTACTACCTTTACTCCCTGGGCCTTGAAAGTGGTCGTTCCATTGATGTCTATGGAGGGATCAGAAAGCTCTCGTATTTCATCAAAAATATCTTCATTTGCATTCCAAAGATGAACGAATTCAGGTCTTACGGGTTTGTAACGACATGAGGGTGAGTAATTAATGACAGAAATTTCCTTTTTTGGTCGAACTAACCCTTTAAAAGCCTATACACTATTTTATTATTTATTAGTGTTTTGAATTCGCTTTTATTTTTATCTTTTCAGTTTTCATTTTCATTTTAGTTTAACTTCAGCTTTAATTTATTTTATTCCAGTTCTAGCTTTAAAAATAGCAAGTAGCTTAAACATTTTATTTTGGTTAGTTGCCAAGGCAACATTTCAAATTTTAAGTTTTTCATGTAATATTATTATTTCATTTATATTATTATATTAGTTTTAGTTTGGCTTTTCTCCCTTGTCTCACTGAAGGCACGTAAAGACAGGTCTCTCTGATTTTACAAAGTCAGTTAAGCCTATAGTGGAATTGCCTTTGTGCTGCTAACCGTTTCCACAAACCTCTTTTCAGAAATTAATGAAAACTTAATTAGCCTTTATATTTTTCCAGGGACCTTCAGGGACTGTCACTTTGTAAGGTTTCTTACAGAAGCAGAGCTTAGTTACCTTTACCACAAGTGCTTCAATTATGCAGCATGAATAGAACGCGAATAGAATAGAACATTCTCTGGTCAAAGAGCAAATATATAGCGTGATATAGTCAGTGGTGTAGTGCAGGGCAGAGGTGGAAAGAGTAATAAAATATTCTACTCAAGTAAAAGTACTACTACTTCAATTAAATTTTACTTAAGTACAAGTAAAAGTACCGGTCTAAAAATCTACTCAAGTAAAAGTAAAAAGTAGCTCATTTAAAATTTACTCAGAGTAAAAGTTACTGAGTTACTTTTTTAACAGCGGGTGGGGGAATCCCCCGTGTAGGGTTGTAATGGTATGAGATTTTCACAGTATGATAACGTCTCAGAAAATATCACGGTTTACAGTATTAATCAATTATTAAAGGTGCTATTTGTATTTTTTAGCGGCCTCTATCGGTGATGTTTCAGATTGCAACCAATTTTTACAAGAGCGCTCGTGCTCTTGCGCGTGCTCGAACACAAGAGCGATCACTCATGGTACCGGCCACACTGATACTTTCAACACACCAGAGAAAGCATCACACAACATGCTGGAAACTCATGTAAACTCCCACTGCAACGTTACAATAATAGGCTACTTTTATCAGCTTGACGTTGAACTAATGCTCCATGCTCGTACCATGATAACGTTACATTTGTGGTGTTATCTAGCATAAGGCATTTCACTAACTATTCGTGTATCTTTCACAATCAGCAATGTCAACATAGGTGAATCTATAATATGATAACGAAAACGGTTAGTAAACTAGACTGAACAATTTCAGTGTAACAGTAAGATCGTAGGAAGTAACATTACTGTACTGAACGTGTCTGGAAATGTGTATTATAAACAATATGATAGTAGTGGGATGAGTGACGTTAGACAGTAGATCTAGTACATAAAATAAAAGTTACATCCTAAAGCACCTACTTTTTGTTATCCTGGAACAGTCTTTTGTATTCATTTCATGTCTCATCATGTATGTTGTAGTTTACCTTGCTATTTCATTATAGTTGAACATTATTTGAGCATATCTGAAAACTTGTAATTTATCACAATAAAATTAGCGGAGGTCTCTCCATAATTCAAACGCTCTGCCAATGTTGATCCGTGTTTTCGTCCTAAGTCGATCCGATTCACGTTTGGCCTGACGAGCTTCAGCAGATACATTTTGTTTTGTTTTGTTTTTATATTTTTGTGGAGTTTGTGTTGGAGTGTGTGTTGTGCGGAGGCAGGTCATTTGTTGGTGTTATCAGACTCCATGTCGTCAGCTGCAGTGCTGTCGCATAGACTGTATATAAAAGGAGAGAGGCTCGGGAGTGCGCATGCACGTCACATCCGATGGATTTCGCAGTAAATCCGACCCGGAGACTTCACATAGAAATAGGAATACCGGCCTTCAGAGGTAATAGCTAAACCCGACAAGTGGATCATTGTAATGTGTGATTACAACCCCTTCACACACAGGCAATAAAAAAAGGATTCATTTTAGAAGAAAAGTTACATATAGCACCTTTAAATAAATAAACGGTATTATTAAATTATGGTTATTATTATTATTATTATTATCATTAGTTAAAATGACAGTTAAATTAAAGGAGTCATAATGTAGTATTAACTTTGATACCCACGCTCTATTATAGTCATGTCATGCCCTTCTAAAAAAGAAAAATTGGAAAAAAATAAACACAGAGCTCGTTTGACCCTTATTTCTGAATGCATTATTGTCTCGCGAGATCTGATGCGAGGTTTTGGCTGTCGTGGACGGTCATTTTAATAATGCAAATGAGGGGCGCGTTGATTGGTGGCAGGAAGGAGGGGGCTTGACACCGCAGGTAACTTCAGCATATCATTCCAAAAAGAGATCATGGCGCAAGTTGTGAATGAACCCGACCTGGCCGCGACCTACGGGATTCAACCGTATATGTTTGAGCCAGACTCTGAACCAGAGCTGGAAACGGAAGAGGAACAACAGTCAATTGAAGGACGTCGTCTACATCAACATGTCTCTGAATGGTAAAGACAATTTTTTTGACTGAGACATACATTAACATCAGTAACGAGCTAAAACGTTTTTTTGCTATTTTCTCCCACATAAGTTTAGCTTTTATTTAATGTAGATTACATTAACGGAGATGTAGTCTACTTTATTTTCAGCTTACAGTGGTTATAGAGATTAACGTTTGCTATAATGTGTTGTTTTTGCCTTTTTTGACGTTGTGGTTTTTTAGATATTTAATAATTTTCATCTGCAGACATGTAACGTTATGTTTTTCTTTATGTTTATTAATTCTTGACTGTTTTTTAAATTTATCTATCCTTATCTATTATATAAAAAAATCAATACAATGATATGTTGTCATTGTTATATTATATACGATTATATTAAATAATAGCTAACGTTACTGTAGTGTAAAACAAAGTGGAAAGATGTGGCTAGCATTCGTAGAGTCCATTCCCCGTGTTTACATCACATACATTAACCGCATTAGTAGTTACCTGCTGTTTGTTACACAAAATATAGTAATAAAAACACAGTCTTACCGTTTCAAATTCAGGCAAGTCCCTGATTGTTGGAATGGCACCTTTTTCCAAACGTAGCTTCGATGCCAACTTCGCCTGATATTGCCCCAAATTTGTAAAAGATTCTTTTGTGAAATGTTTAGCGCAGCACCTAACGTTGAGCAAGTTGAGATGGTTGTTGGAACAGCGTCATTAAAAATAAATTTCATCCACTTGTCCCTTGTAGTTTGGTCAGTTTTGGGTAAAGAAAAAACATTAGAATGTGGATTATGACAGTCAACCACAGAGCAACTCACGTGTGCACTACGTTTCTGCATCTTTCTTGACTGAATATCGCTGAATATGATGGGGAGAGGGGCAGGGCGGGCCTCCTCTGCGGTGTCCATATATGGTATATCCGGCCCCGTCTTGACGTCAAGCCGGGGGAGAAATTGAAATCTCGTATTTGAGTGCGCGTGCACGTTGGCTAGTTTAAGAACCCTGGGGTAAACAAACGCTTCACTTTTGAATATCGACATCCCGGCCAATGTATAATCGTTAGTCAATCATAACATACATTGATTCTCATGGAAAAGTGAAAATTGCACATTATGACTCCTTTAATGAAAACAGGGGTTTTTTTGGTTGAACAAATTCTTTTACTATAACAAACTTGAAACCATTCGTTTGTTTTGTTTATTAAAATTTCAATAAAACATGTCTAATCAATTAAATTCAATAATTGATAATGAATTAGATTGACAACTTATTTTTAACATTAATAATTTATTAAAATGTTTAAGAATAATATAGTCCTATGAAATGTATTTTATTCAGAAAATTAATGTTTCTTTTTATGATTTAATCCAAATATATTATCAAAAACGGTGCTAATCAAATGTAAATTTAATCTTTGTGTCCTTTTATTTTTGGGGGAAGCGCTGCAAAAACAGATTTACTAAATTAAACCATGGACAAAAAAATTATATTCCTTTAAATAATGTTTAAATAAAATGTATTATTGTTGTTATTATTATTTTGAGAAGTTCGTTCTATTGTATGCCCAGAATTTCTCTTTAGTAAAACCGAACTTTTATTTTGACAGGTTGTAGTGAAGAACCGTTTCAAAGTGTATTTGACAATGTTTTTTCTCAAATAAAATTATGAAAATGCTCATTAGGCGTTCTCTCAGAGCAGCTCTGGAAATATATTCATGTCCTCAAATTGTTTGTGAGACGCTGAAAACACCATGAACGTCACGCGTAGCCTACTTGTATGTAACGTTAGTAGACAAAGCGGCGCAGCTCAGCAGAACAAATATGTTATATATTTACATTGCAGTATTTTTGTGCTTAAATATTCACAGACCATGTCGCGATTGGATTTATTGCACAGTTCTACTTTCCATGTATTCATCCATCCATTATTTTGCGTGTTTTACGTGACATCTGCGTTATGTAAATTCCATTTTCATGACTGGATTCCGGGATTCCCTCTGCATCACGTAATCATTCGGCCTTACGTTATAATCGGGACATACCTTTATCTGCAGGAGGGATGGTGTCCTATGTATCCTCCTTTTGCAGCCACTTTGCGTCCACATTTTTTGCAAATTGGATATATATCCTCGAGGACAACCACTCGTTTTTTCTACAAAGTATTTCCATACTGGCCATAATTCGCTTCATAAGAATTCGAGGGCGCTTTCAGCTCAGCTGGGTCTGCGTCACCTTTCTTGCGCGTTTGTTCTCCCGCCCTTCAACCAATCAATGCAGTAGTTTCCGGACATGTTTCCGGAGTGTGATTTTTTTTTCCTCCCTTGTATTATTTTTTACTCAGTAACGGATATGATTTCAAATGTAGCGAAGTACAATACTTCAAACAAAACGTACTTAAGTAAAAGTAAAAGTACAGATTTTAAAAACTACTTAAAAAAGTAGAAGTACACAAAAAAACTACTCAATTACGTAACGCGAGTAAATGTAATTCGTTACTTTCCACCTCTGGTGCAGGGTATACGCAGGTATTCTTTTTCAGTCGCATTGCGTATACCCACTTTTAAATCCCCTCTGATGCGCATCATTTAGTTGCTAATCAAATCTCGTGAATAAAAAATACCCAGTCAGGGTCGTCCCTAATATTAACTCTAATTTGTTGCAGCAATGATTCTTCCATCGCGACGATAACTGACCTCATCTGATCTGCTTCAGCACTCAAACACCCGCTCGTCAATGTCAAAATGTTTGAGACCAATCAAAGCATGCAGGATTTTTGTTCACAGAAACGCGAGCCAAGCGCGAATCCCAACGCGACGCTTCACTTCAGTTAACGATCATACAGTGCGAAGATGCAAGTAGCTAAAATATACGGCTGTTTTTCGATAGAATTTTTAAATGACCGACAGAAATAATCAGTTTGATCAAAGACAGTGGAAATTATAAGCTCAATTTAGCAACACAAGCACCCTATTAAATATATTGCCATTATTACTGTATAAATATAGTTGTATAACGTTCGAATGTGTTCGACTTTTCACTGTTTGTATCACTCCGCTTGACTGTGTTTGCGCAACTTGCATCATTAAGCCAGAAGGCGGCGACAAGTGACTGTCTTTATGAGCAATTGAACCATTAATTAAATGAACAGATTAGTCCAAAAACATTGATTAATTTAGGAAAGAAAAAGTAGCTGAAACTGGAACTGATTCTCAAGTTTAAGAATCTGATCAAATACTTCATGCTTTTAAAGCTACTGTTGTCCATTTTTTGTCCATCAAAACACCTTAAAATGTTCATGTCGAGATCAGTAGCAATATCATTTATGGGACCTGGGTATTTAGAAAACCCTACGTACGGCCCTGACATGCAAGATAGTGATTCTATATGTTCTATTGTAGGCTATTCATTATATTCTATATTCTACATTCAATAGTAATGCAAGACTAGTCTTACGTCACTGTTTATAACAAAGAGCGTTCATCCTTTGCTGGGACGCTTAAAAAAATATTGGGGGCATAAATTAAGAGTATACCCACTTCTCCAGGCACCACTACATCACTGGATATAGTCATTCACATTCTATTATGTCCTTTTGAAGGGTCACAAGGTCCTTCTATCTATACAACACAAAATGTTTTTTTTTTATATATATTATTATTATTACCATATTATTATAATCATATTTACCGTCACACGCATATTTCGCTCGTGTTCACGCGAATTCACCGCGTAGACCAACAGAAAAGCTGCTTGTTAGATTGAATGTGACTTCTGTGTGAGCTGTTTTGCCCGCGAATTTTCTCTGAAAGGAACAATGTTGCTTTGTTCGAAATCGCCCCCTATACCCTCATTCACTATACATCAACTTATAACGTAAGTACTCCACTTGAAGGAGTGAAGTAAAACGAGTGAGTGAATTCGGACACTGAGTCCACCAGAAGGGCTACCGCTTTTGCATAGGCCTAGTCTGTGCTTGCTGTTTAATAAATTGAAACGTAGCAAACTGGCAGCTCCAGTAGCCTAGTAATGAAAAGATTTATCTTGAACTCTGCTATGGAAAGTAGCACGTGTAAACCGTAATTAAACAATTGAATAATCAGTTAAAAAGGAATTTATACCTGTATGATATTATGCTGGACCAGCGCGGTTTGGAAAATGGAAGGATGATGCAGCTCAGCTGCGGCGCCATCTTCTGGTAAGACGTGGGAATTCGTTCAGCGCGCGACTCTCACAGTGCATTATGGGTATTCTCTAGCCATTGAGCTTACATCATTTGTACACTCGTTATTGCGGCGCATTGTGGGATTGAATGAGCGAACTCAATAACGTCCACAATGGTTTCGGACACCACTACAAATGGCTGTCCCCTCAAAAAGTGCCCTAAGGGTATGCTGGACGATTTCGGACACAGTGACTACTCTTTTATTTGTTTATTTTTTTCAGAGACTACAAAATTGACTCTTTATTTACATCAACATTGATGACTGTCATTCATTATAAAGTGTGCTTCCCTGAGTGAGGCCCTGTCATGGCTGCCCCAAAGACCTTTGTAAGTAGCTAGCCTGAGATTTTTTTATTCATGCTCAAGCATATTAAAAGGTGGTTGATGGTGATTAAAATTTTCCAGATCTTGCTTTAGCTTTCTTGTTCTTGATGCTTTTTCTGAAGCCTTGTCCTGCCATGAAGTAGAGGATGGGGTCGATGCAGCTGTTAGCGCTGGCTAGAGGTCGCGTGATCTTGTAGGCCATGCTGGCATACTCCAACATCGAGCAGCTCACCTGTTTGTCCAGGTAGCGGAAGCTGTAGTATATACTGCGGTTCACATGAAAAGGCAGGAAGCACAACATGAAAACCAGAAGCACAATTATGATCATCTTCACCGACTTCTGCTTGGAGCATTGTGACATTGGTCCTTCGCCAACACCGGGTTCCTGAAGTTTCCTCACCATCAGCCCGTTGCAGACTAGCACCACCCCAAATGGTAGGACAAACAGCAGGAACATCACCACCGAGCTGTAGACCAGAAAATCATTGAAGAGCTCTTTGCTGGTGGTGTCGTAGCAAACCCGGATGCCACCATTATCTTTCATTCTGGAGAAATAAAGGATCGGGGCCTGAAAAATTAGCATTGTCGCCCATATTCCCACAGAGACCAAACGAGCCCGACGGCCGTTTATCCAGGACAAAGAGCGAACCGGATGGCAAACGCCTAAAAATCGGTGCAGGCTGATGCAGCTGAGGAAGAGGATACTTCCGTAGAGGTTCGTGTAGAAGAGAAAGCGAATCAGCTTACACATCGGCTCGCCAAAGGGCCAGTCGTTCTCATCAGCGTAATAGTAGATCAGAAACGGAAGCGTGAGGATGTAAAGAGTGTCACAGACGTTGAGGTTGATCATGTAGATGGTGCTGGGGTTCCAGTGTTTGGTTCGAAACAAGATGACGTACATGGCGGTGATGTTCAAGCCAAGGCCGAGCACAAACACCAGACTGTAACTCACCGGGAGAAGAATGTACTTAAAGCTCTCTTTATAATCACAGTGATACTGATTGGTGCCATTGGTTGTGCCAGAGTTGTTAAATGTCGCCATTCTGATCTAGATCTGTCAGAGAAAAAGACAATGAAATCAATCATATCTAAGCAATGAGATATGAGATTCAAGACAATGGACCAAATATTAAAAATTAAAAACTGACCATTATATATATATATACAATGGTCAGTTACAATTTATTCAAATTGCTTAGAAGCAACAAAAATCGGTTTAAAAAGTATGAAGCTGTTGAACAAGCAATATTCAACTGTATGAGATTTAAATGATTAGTTCACCTCAAAATGAAAATTTCCTGATAATTTACTCACCCCAATGCCATCCAAGATGTTCATGTCTTTCTTTCTTCAGTGGAAAAGAAATTCAGTTTTTTGAGGAAAACATTTCAGGATTTTTCTCCACACAATGGACTTCAACGGGAACCAAATTGTTGAAGTCCAAATCAATGCAGTTTCAAAGGGCTATGAAGAGCTCCAAAGGGCTCTGCACGATCCCAGCTGAGGAATAGGGTCTTATCTAGCGAAACGATCAGTCATTTTCTAAAAAAAAATACACATTTATATACCTTTTAACCACAATTGTTCGTCTTGTGCTGGTCTGTGATGCGCTAGGCATTACATATTCACGTTGGAAAGGTCACGCTGGACGTAAGCGGAAGTACCGCCCCATTGTTTTAAACATCCAGGATACACACGAAAGGACCATTTTAAACAATAAACTGACACAAAGACATAAATATGTCATTCAACATACAATAAAATTTGAACGATCCTCCTTCTCCACGCTTGTAAACAATGGGGCGGTGCTTCAGCCTACATCCAGCGTGACCTTTCCAACGTGAATACGTAATGCCTGGCGCTTCGCAGACCAGCACAAGACGAACAATTGTGGTTAAAAAGTATATAAATTTGTATTTTGTTTTTTAAATGACAGATCGTTTCGCTAGATAAGACCCTATTCCTCAGTTGGAAATTTTTTTTATTTCTTTTCCACTGAAGAAAGAAAGACATGAACATCTTGGATGGCATTGGGGTGAGTAAATTATCAGGAAATTTTCATTTTGAGATGAACTAATCCTTTAAACAAATTGAATTAATTTATGATAAATATAAAATCCTGGTTATTGTGTACACTTTGTTTGCTATTACAGAAATCTTACCAATTTTATTTATATATAACTGAAAAATATGCATCACATTAAGGTTGTTCATAACTTTTTCATTTTCATCACAAAAGTTCGAATTTTGACAGGTATTTTGTTAAAGATCAACATGCATTAGTTTGCATACATCAGCATACAAGTTTTTCACCTAACTTTATGTTGTTAACAGAGCGTTTCTAAGTATGTTCCTGCTGTTTTTCAAAGCCCAGGGCAGAAAACAAGCTTTTAAAGTAGCACTATAAATGATTGTTCTGGTAATAACACACCCTTATACAACATTATACAACACATATCGATCAGTGATCTGAATTAAGTCAGAAAGTAGCTCAGAACTCGCTAAGAATTTCCTCAGAACTTCCTCCCGTATTTTTTGTAGATTATATCAGCATCAACTGATAAGACTCAAACTATTGGAACATAGCAATAAGACATCTTGACAGTTGTATAGTTGCATAATTTAGCTTTTAATTTAGTTGCCACTGCTTAGGATTGATTTTGAAAATTATTGATTTAACAATCTTTTCACAGTGCAAGCTCAATAAAAACTAAATAGTATTACATTATATACTGATGTTAAAGAACATAATCCTTATTTACATCACAGACATTTTTTATGACAGACACACGATTTTTTTTTTAAAGTAACTCAGATAGATACTTGCATTGGTTCCTTCAGCAACCAACAGTTGTGTCTCCTTTCGGTGTGCTTACCTACATAAACCTGTTTTACCTCTGCCTGTTTATACTGCATTTCTCCACGGTGGGTGTGTTTACATGGCTCGGCCTACTCTTATAGGCTGCTGCGTCAGCCAATAATATATCAATTATTCAGAGAGACTCATATACTGTAACATGATTGAATTGAGGGAGCTGTAGCTGAAGTTTATAACAGGAAATACTGAGAACACACCTGTTTATCAAGACTCTGTTTCAATAATCCATTTCAAACTAATTTCAAATCACACACACACACACACATATACAGTATATGCTTTTCAAATCTCCTGAAAATGCATTTTTTTGCATATTGGAGATGCCTAATATTAGTTCTTACAAAAGAGCAGCATGAACATTCTGCCTAACATCTACTTCTTTTGTGTTTTGCAGAAGAAAGAAAATTGTTCAGTTTTGGAATGAAATGAGGGTTTGTAAATGAGGACAAATTTTAAGTTTTGAGGTGAACTAGTCATCTTATTATTGGATTTTTCTGCACTAACAACTTAAAAACTGCCATGTTTGCATTATGACTTGCTTCAGAAAAGTGCCCTTGGCAAGATCCTTCGGAGTTTGGCAAAGGAGAAAGGCGTATGCTAATGATCAATAATTAACGTATTGCCCTACAGTACAGTGAAGAGAATTTCACACAGCCTGAAAGAAACTGGAAATAAATTTGTTTAAGGGGATTTTCTTTGAAAGGGGATTCTTAGTTTTTATTCTCTTGGTAGTTATTTTAAATGCCACTTTTTAATGTTATGTATTCTTCCAATCCATGTTATCTAATCTAATCAATATAGCTTGAATAAAACCATTTTGTTTAGATGTTACCACATGAAGCAAATTGTTAATGTTCCCGAATAACCAGTTTACAGTGCAAATACAACAAAATATTCTGCCCACTTACAAAACCTTAGCTCCTGAATAAATTAAATGAATCCAAAACCACAGAAACCACAAAGTTGCACTAACCTGTTGCTTTGTTCCTCTCAGGTTGAATTCATCTGAGACCTTCACAGTTCCAATGCAAGGATAAAACTAGATTAATTTGATTTGCGTGAGGTCTGTCAGCTTTACTTCTGTGACTCAAAAGAAAGAACAAACGGCAAGGTGTTCGATTGCTGTCTTACTTGCCTTACAAAATTGAATTAATTATTACCCTAAGTCAGAAGAGTTATGAACCTGAGCTAAACTTTATTTGGTCAGTCTCTGCACGTACAACAAATGTTTAGGCACACTTGACTGAATTTATGTTTTCCATGATCTTAAAAAACTTTCTTTGCTTTCTGATGCAATCAGTTCTGCATGTAGGACAAACATAAATTTGGATTGGATCACATATGAATTGCTTTTCTTTTTTAAATGAACATTTTTAATAGACACATTAAAGTGAATAGTGAAGGAAAATCAGTGCCCAGCGTACATGAGCTCCTTCACTAGTTTAAAAGCATTCAGCTCATGAAGTTGGTTGATAAATGTCCAAAGTGAGCAAGGAGTTTTCATTGTGACACATGTTTTGATCACTGTATCCATTTATCAGTTTTCCTCACTTTACAATTATTCTATACATAGAAAATGGTCATAATAAAGATGGAGTAGTTTTGACTGCTCTTTGAAGGCATGTTCTCAAAGGGGTGGCTGATTACACACACACACACACACACACACACACTTTTTAAACTTTAGTTAGTGTGTAATGTGTAGTGTGTTTGAGCATAAAAAACATCTGCAAAGTTACAACGCTCAAAGTTCAAAGCAAAGGGAGATATTTTATTTTACATAATCGCTTTTTAAGGACTATACAACAAACGGCTATTCAACAAATGGTAGGGACTACACCAGCTTCGGGTTAGTGATTAAATTTACATAAACTCCGCCCCCGGGAACCCGATTATCATGACAGAATATGCTAATCAATGACTAGAAGATAGTTAACTCCACATCAGCAACATAAATTCATCAAAACCCATTCAGAAATGTCCTATAGACCCTTTTACTGTTTGTACACAATGATGACGTAGCAACGTATGCGCGCGCATATTGGCAACGGAAGTATGGCGAGAATCAACAACATGTCAAGCTACGCGAGCGGATTAAGCAACACAGACAGAGAAAGTTATTTAAAAAAGTTAACTTTATCAAATGGTATCCGGCTACCAGATCCGTGTACTATAGTGGAGTGGATAGAAGACGTTAGTAGATGGCATATAAATCACTGGATGCTTATGAGTACGTTGTCTGTGGTCATGTACAGAACGTCAAATACGCGAGCATGTTTTATGATGTCCTCGCTCCAATCAACACGTTTAATCGCCTGCAGCCACAAGCGCCGCCGGTTCTTCTGAAACGGCCGTGATCCTGTCGGAATCCTGTAAAACTTAAGCCCCTTGGTGGAATATCGATTAGAGCAACCGTAAACGCAACAACCAGACATTTTGATGCTGGGAAATAGTTTTGGTAAATTTTCAGAGTTGTTAACGCGTTAGAGCCAGTGGGAAAAAACACCACTTCCGTTGCCAAAATGCGCGCGCAACTATTTGATCACGTGGGCTGTAAAAGGGTCTATTGCATTCTACAAGTTGTCACTTCTTTAGTCTCTTCATCTTTGTCCAACTGCGGTTTGAACATAAAAGGTAAACCTTTTTTAAATGTTCAGTGCATGTCTGCGTGAGCATAGTGTGCGTGAGGTAATCGGAGCTGCTAACGCACGAGCTGTTGAAGCTCCGCCCTCTGTGTCGGTTGCAGCAGCTCATTTGCATTTGAAGGGACAGACACAAAAACAGCGTTTTTGCTCACCCTCAAAAAGTGACAATTTTAACATCCTATAAAAATTATCTGGGGGGTATTTTGAGCTAAAACTTCACCTATACACTCTGTGGACATCAGAGACTTATTTTACATCTTGTGAAAAGGGCATTATAGGACCCCTTTAATTTCTTCCATTGTGACAGCTAGTCACGGCATATTCAGAGAGATTTACATTGTTGAAAAATAATAAACTCACTGTATGTTTAACCCTCATCTTCTCCTTGTATATTGAAACAAATCCTTCCCTCGTGGGTCAAAATGAATTGAAGCCTTACATTTATTTATTTATTTTTTTGTCCAGAAAGCGTATATCATTACATATATATATATATATATATATATATATATATATATATATATATATATATATATATATATATATATATATATTTAAGGGAATTTTTTAAGAGATTATATTTTGTTGTTTTTTATTTTATATACTTTTAAATGACTAGATTTTGTCAATAAATAATATAATTGAAGCACATTCTTCACATTCTATCAATTTAAATTCAAAATAACTCACCTTTTTGTCCATAACCTTTTAATTCAGCTCAAAATATCTCACATTGGGTGTCTTTGCCGACCTCTTGTGGAAAAAAAAAATATATATAACATGAGATTTCATGACTCTTGCCACTAGATGGCCTTATAATCTTTATATGGAGCAAATGATCTGTTCCCCTGGGTCCTAAAGTCAGTTATTTCATTCAGTTTATTTCTTCAGTATGAATTCAGGTATCTGTTAAGATATAAAAATCTTCTTTGGTAAAGTTTTAGCATGTTTAGTCTTAATTTTGACTTTTAACAATTTTATTTAGGGTTTTCTATATATACTGAAGTGTGTGTGTGTGTGTGTGTGTGTGTGTGTGTGGGGGGGGGGGGGGGGGGGGGGGGTCAACTTTTCTTGAAGTAAAACCTTAAAGAAAATGTAAAATTTATAACAGCTTCAAAAATGCTGTTATAATTTCACCATTTTCCCCATTGTTTTTATTTCAACCACATAAACTCCTCGAACCCAAAAAAAAAAAAAAAAAAAGAAGTTTGTGTGTGTGTATTCCAAGTTTCAAGTGTGACAAACGTCCTAAGGTCTTGGACCACTCCGATGAACACTCAATTGTTTAATTTGTTTTTATTATTATTCATTTTGGGTCAAAATGACCCGAGTAGAGGATGATGTGAGGGCCATGCATCCATGTTATGAGTTTCTTAGATCTGATTATTATGCATGATTGTGTAACATCCAATGCATGTGATTGGATAGGATCTATGTTGCCAATAGCTATTATTATTTCTGGTTTTCCTACAGTGGTGTTAGAATTTCCAGAACTGTTTGTCTTTATTTCTGTATATATCTATTTTTACAGTATAATATGTTTGCAAGTCTGCCAGAAGTAATTCAAAATGTGTTATGTTTTCATCCTGAGGATAAAGAATCTTTCGAATTGCGAATTTTACTAGCTTTACTATGGCCAAGGCCTAGGTCATGAATATTAATGAACTCCTTTCGATGTTGGCGCATTCTTGGACTGTCCAATAAAAAAAATCAATTATTATTTAAATAACCAGCTGACTGTTGCTCACGTTAACGACGGCCAATCAGCTACGCCTAGTGAGCGAACGTCCCGTTACGTAATTAATATTCATGAGCTGAGCCGTCACCGTAGTAGGGTTCGTATAGCGGGGTTCGGTGTGTCCGGTCCGGGGCGCTGTTGGGCTGGTTTTACGGTTCGAGCCTGCTCTTTGGAGGCAGATTCTCTCTTTCATTACTTTCCCCCCTGATCCGCAGTGTTTGTTGAGCGTCTGCCCGACTGGACCTGCTTCATCATGGCCGTCTGAATTCAGATCTGAATCCCAGTCTGATCCCCTTTTCTTAATCATCAACCTCGATCGCTCTGGGTATCATTTCTTTGGGATTTTACTTCATTTGTGCCAATGTTCAAACATGCAGCCTCCGCCAAGAAAGGTAAGAAACCAGCGTTAGAACAATGTGTGTGTGTGTGTGTGTTTTTTATATATATGTGATTTGCAACATTGTTAACGTTACATTATCCCGAAGTTGGAACTTTCTTTCCAGCCGCTGTTTGTTTTGAAACGATGTATCTGTTTTTATTTGTAACGTAAACGATGTAACAAGAGTTTTCTCGACCAGTAGATTACTGTTTTTATTGTTGTTTTTAAAGCAGCAGCGGTGGTAAATAATCCTGAAATCCAGCAGATGTCTTTAGCTGAGATGATAGACGAGTGTTTTAGGGGCTGATTTGATCTCAGATAACGGTTAAACCATGCAGCCACGAGATTCGTCTTGTTTTGTGTGTTTTTACTCGGATTGGAGTCACCATGCTTTTGTCAAATAAGACGGATCAGTGATCAGTATTCTAACCCTAAAGTCTGACATTTGGTTACACATCTCGCTTAAATGTGTCCAAATGTCATTCACATCGTGGAAATATGAGTTTAAAAACATATGCCTTACAGAAAGATGTTTTTCTGTCTCTCTCAGAGGTGACAGCAGCAGGGGTGTTGGATTTCAAACTCATGTCCCACAGGCTGTATGGAGGAATGTGAAATTCCCTCGCAAAAAAACATTGTATTCCTATCATTCCACACACATTCGTGTATTTTAATCATCAAAGCATTGCATCATAGCGTAAAATCCTTAAAGGTGACGTTTGACTTTTTGCAGTTGCTTTGTCTTGTGAAGAGGAGAAAGGCAGATAGCATGTAGCACAGGTTTACACCACAAATAACCCTGTTATTTTTGCAATAGGATGTTTTAAAATGAAAATATAATACAAATATGTGTATAATAATCGTTTGCTTTGGTCGTTGTAACTGATAATGTTTGCTTTAATTTAAATGCTCGATAAATTACGTTTAGCTCTTTCTACAGATGCAGGAGACAGGGTACAGTATGATTTGTATAAATGTGTGTGCTTCAGGAAGATTAAAAGGTGCATTTTCTTAACAGACAGTAAATATGTTACCTAATGTCTATTTTAAAGCAAAAATCTATTTTTAAAGGCACTGATCTGTGTCTGACATCAGTGTGGATATTTCCATAAATAACTGAATAGCTTCTCCACTGTAATAAATGCCTGTAAATATGCTGTTTTGTTGATGCACTGTTGCTTTCCTCTGACGCAAATGCTGCTGTTAGTGTTTCCTCCATCTCGGAGTAATAATCCTTCACCTGTACAGCTCAAAGTGTGGATGAGAGCCATGCAGCCGGCTGTCATACTGTGTGTTATGGTGCAGCCTGCAACATTGTGTCCTGCTGATGCTGCCAGGGTTGGATGGATACCGAGGCGAGCTGTGTTATTTTCCATCCTCTTTGGCTTTAACCTTTAGGGAGTTGTTACAGGACCAATTATCTCCTCACCTGCCAAGTGGAGAACTTCTGTTGTAATTAACAGTTTCTCCCTAGATATTAGTCAACCTGCCCGGGCTCATTGGTCTGGTCCCGTTGGGTTTTTCTCGGCTGTGTAGTCGCATTTGGGTTGTGAACCTCAGGTAACCTTTATGTGTGTTATTTTGAACACAACATGATTAAACCCAGGACCATGACCATTTGTAGGGTGTTCCATGGACAGTTCTTAAAGGGATAGTTCACCTAAAAATGAACTTTCTGTCATTATTTACTCACCCTCATGTCGTTTCAAACCCGTAAGACTTTCGTTCATCTTTGGAACAAATGATGAATGTTTATGTGAATAAAAGACTAAATTTTTAATCTGTCCATCATCTCTTGAAAAATGTTGGACTAAACCGCTTAATTCGTATGGGTTAGTTTTACGATCTCTTTATGAACTTTTTTATTTGTGTAACTGTCAATGGAGGGATCGAAAGCTCTCAGATTTCATACAAAAATATCTTCATTTGAGTTCCGAAGATGAATGAAAGTTTTACGGATTTAACGCCACAAGGGTGAGTAAATAATGACAGAATTTTCATTTCTGGGTGTACTATCCCTTTAAATGCTTACATTTGGTCTCCTAAACTTCAGGACAATGGAATTTCTATGTCATATTTGTATATTTCTTTTGGCAATGTGCAAGGGAGATTGTTCTAAGAGCATATAACTTGAAAAATTGTTATCAGTGCCGTCTTTCCTGTTATCATTTCAGATGGGTTTGCCAGCCTAGTCATACCAACACAAAGCTATTTATAGGTTTAACCAATGTTGTTTCATAATTGAAGTGTTCTATATCATTCCATCAACTTTCAGTTTCAAATGTGAGCAGTTAAAAGTCTTAAACAAAATGGTCACCTGTTTCTTTTACTGTTGACCTCAAAGCATTTATGTTTGCAAATTCCTTTTAAACCTCTTTCCTGTAACTGCTGGTATAACACTACACTCTTAAAGTAAAATAAAGGTTCTTAATTGGCATCTATGGTTCCATGAAGAACCTTTAACATTTTATGAAACCTTTCCATTGTTCTACAAAATGTTCTTTATAGTGGAAAAAAAGTTTTTTTCAAATGTTCTTCAGTTCACACTAGGAAAAAATATTCTTTTAAGAACTGTTTACAGATAGGGGACCAAAAATGGTTATTTTAGAACATTTGTTATTAAGAATGTAACAAAAGGAAAATGTACCAAAAAGTTCCTTCCAATGTAATTTTGAACCAAATACTATGGTATGTGAATGTGGTACTCATTCAGTACCATGGTGTACTAATGTTCTAAGTGTGTTTTTGCTGATTACTTACTTCTCTGTTTTTTATACTGTACTGAAGCAGATTTTATAGCATATTTTGTGTAATAGTATCTGAAGTCTTTAGATATCATTAAATATGGAATCTTAGGATGTGTCATGCCAGGAAACAATTCCTGTCATGCTAAATAACACATTTTCCCCATAATAAAAATACATAATTCATCTTTACTGTTTTGTTATTATCATTTAATCTTATCCAGATTACATAACTTGGAAACATTTCAGACATTTCAAAGCCATGGAAACATTTGAACTTTATGGTGATACATTTTTTCCAATATGGCTGTGGAAAAAATGCAAATCCGTGTTTTTAATTTTGGTACAGTTTCTTATTGATTTAAGAGTTGTTTCAGCTGATGTAATAATGTGTGATTTTAATAACGCCTGTATAAAAAAACGTCATTGTTAATCCACCTCTAAAATACATCTGCAATACAAAAATATATCTTTTGTGAGGAGATGATGTGTCAGTTTGTTCTTGATCAGGATTAAATCAGGCCTGCAATTGCTCACCTTAGACTAGTAAAGATATAGAACCACATCTATATTAGTCTTACCTAGCCTATAAGGTGAGCAATATTTATAATGTAATATAGAATAGTTTAAAGCTGAAGTGTTTTATTCATGCATTTGAAATAATTATTATTTCCAAACAGATTTCCTGACCACCACTGGACAGATTGTCCTGCCCATAAACTCACGCCATGTTTTGAGTTCCAGCTTATCAAACTGGGACAGGAGAAAAAGTTTTATCACCCCAAAAATTACACACTTCAGCTTCAAGTGACATTATATGTTTTTATAGAAAGAATCGACCATAAAATTGTTAGAGTTTGATTGCAGGACTTGTTCTCTTGTCGTTTGGAAAGGTTGTGAATTTGTTGTTGTGGTGCATAGAGCTGACTGGAGCTGGAAGCACAATAATGAGCTCATGTGGGACAGTGTGTGTGTGTTTGTGCAACTGGCATGTGCCATCCTCTTCCTCGCCTCTAATGATGTCGTCTGCTCTTCAGGTAAAAGTGACACAGGAATTGAAGAACACGCATACGGAGCAGCTCGGCCGCCTGCACCTTAAACACCAGACAGAATGTGATTTATTGGAAGATATGAGGTAAGCCATTAAATGAAAACAGTGCCTAAAACACGCATGCATCCATAAAAGTCAAACAAATAAAACAGAATGCAGAGAGCGAGAGAATTCCCCCTTCTTTTGAAGACCACTGGGATCGCAGGACCGGGATGTGACGAAGGCATTTCCTTTGGACTTCCTGCTCGTAGGGCCAGTCGTTCCCACAGCTGGAAGTCATAACAGTGCTGCTCTTCTCTTTTTTTCCAGTTTTTTTTCTCTCTCCTTGTCTTCTCTTAAAAGGGATTAAGGGCTGGTTCAGAACAGAGGGAGGGAATCGTGTTAAAACCACTGCTTTTGGACACGGAATTTATGTACGTGTTTTGTGTGTATGTGTTTGTACATGCTTATGGGTGTTTATGAAGATATTTGACAGTGGCACACCCTCACGAGGTCGCTGAGGATGAAAATTGCTGTGCAGTCATAATCTGCAGGCTATTTTGGTGTGTGTTTGTGTGATGGAGTGAAAATAAGTTTCTGTCCAAAAGCGAGAGAGAGAATGAGGATGGTTTAAACTGCATTTATTTTTTTACAAGCGATTAGATGATGGATAGTCTGAAGAGTGTAATTTCTAGTTACACTAGTGGTAGGGTTAGTTTTTCAAATAAAATCTAAAAAATAATGACTGTTTTCAATCTGGTTTACCATTGCATTTATATATTGTGTGGTGTGCCATATTCTCTGGAATTGTTTAACATCTGAAACATGCTGCCCCTTATATTACGACGAAACGTATGCAAATAACGGCAAGCACGCAAAAGTGCAAAACACACACTTTTATGTGTGCCGAATGTTAGAGGTACTCAAAGCCCATATTTATTTATATAGCACGTTTCCTACCTTTAAAAAAGGTGTTTATAATAAATAGTTTATATTGAACGCCACTATAATTTGTTGTTTTATACATATTTTTTTTGTGAACACTGTTAAATTGAAAGAATTTGTTGTGAAGTGAGGGGAACTAAAATACATGTTATGTTTATTAATGTTTGTAAATGTTTTGCTTTACTTAACGGTATTTTACATAGACTGTAAAAAAATATGGACGTAGTGTCCGTGACGTCACCCGTAAGCTTCTGAAGAGCAAATTTGAAGCCCAAAGTGGGCGGAGCAGGCCTTCGCCAACTTGGCGGTGCGTCACTCCCCGATAAACGAAAATGGGCAAAGAGGCGGGATTAGCTGAGGTGGCGCTAACAGACAGCAGACAAACGGCTAGTAGTGACAGCAGCAGCAATCCACCGGTCACTCTCACTCATGTGGCCACGCCCTTAATTATGCAGAACATTATGTCTTTATATAATTTAAACGGATGAGTTATAAAAATATTCACCCCCCTCACAGTTCTCATGAAGGGCAAAATTAGCTATATAGACCTAAACCACTTTTTGTACCAGGCTGTAAACATATTTTTTTCTGCTGTAAAGTTGGGCATATTAACATGGGGGGTCTATGGGATTGAGGAGCCTGTCTCTAGCAGCCAGTCGACGAATTGCAGGTTAAGTCACTTCCGTGTTGGATTCAAGAGAGAGACCGATTTTACTATATTACTGAATATAAAACAATTTACTTATACACTGATCAGTGTTTTTTTCTCTCTCTCTCTCTCTCTCTCTCTCTCTCTCTCTCTCTCTCTCTCTCTCTCTCTCTCTCTCTCTCTCTCTCTCTCTCTCTCTCTCTCTCTCTCTCTCTCTCTCTCTCTCTCTCTCTCTCTCTCTCTCTCTCTCTCTCTCTCTCTCTCTCTCTCTCTCTCTCTCTCTCTCTCTCTCTCTCTCTCATATCAATGCAGTTTTCACCCTGTGCGACTTGTAGTCAGTGTCGACTTAGGCTATTTCTGGAAAATACTGTAGGCTATTTTGATATGAGAAAAATGTATACAGCCCAAGTAATAAAAGTTAAAAGTTCTCAATCTTATTGAATGCAAGACAACAGTCAGTATTAAAATAAGCAACTGTGCTGCTATCTTCTCCAAAGTTGTGATTACTAAAATTAAGAATCGGATGTTTTAATTAAGCAAAAATTTACTTGACACCATGTTGTATTGTGAATATAGACGTGGCCAAGGATGTTGCAAGCGTTTCACTGTGTTAAACCATTTAGCCTTGAATATGTTCACAGTTTTAGTCACAATATATGACTTGATTGGCCTGTACATTTTTTGTTTATCGCGTCTGATTCTTAATTTTAGAAGTCTTATTTGTCATACCTGCTGTTTGGAGAAAGGACAAACTTTATTCCATGCAAGCAGAGTCTTTGCATCTCTACACAGAACAGCTAGCAGCACACTTTAATAGCTTTACGCCTCATAGCTAAAGACCTTCAGCTTGTATTTCTCTGTCCTCGACTATGGGCAGTATATAAGACAAAAAAAAATAAAAAATAGTGAGACATGAGTCAGCTAACCATCGGGAATCCTGCCAAATGTGGAGTTTCCTAGCTTTTGCTAGGGATGATGCCACATTTAAAAGTGATGCTTGTTATTGTTTTTGATCTTAAAGTGTTTTCTTTAATGTGCTGGAACAACTAAGAAGGCTATTGAAATATTGATATGTTTGTTTGAGGTCTGTCATAATGGAAGTGAAGGTTGAAATGTATGGAAAATCTGTTTGGAAACTTTTAACTCTTAAATTTTGCAATGTTGTCACTATTTGCACGGAAACTACACACTTTACCATGAATTTGATATGATTCCATAGACTATGAGAGATGGAAAAACAGTCTGTTGAGGATTTCATAATGTCCAAGATTATGTCTAACTTGCAATAGATTTTTGTCCCCTTAAAAATTAATAGAAAGATATCATTTCAATGTTGACTTTTTGATCAATGCAGAGTGGACTGCACTTTCATATGAAGCCTATTGAGACTAAAGCCCACAAAACATATTTAGCCAAATCAGACTAAAGGTACGGTCACAGTTACTGTTGTTCAGTGATTTTTCACGGTCGAAATCGAGTCAGTTCAATAGGAATCTGTGTATTTTCGGCTGAGGGATTTCCTCGCACAGGTTTTGGATTGGGTTCAAGTTGATTATGCAAATTTGCCTGTTTGAACAAAAAAAAAAAAAAATCGGCTTGGTTTGACTTCGGTGTGATCTGTGATTCATGCATCACTACACTATTGATAATGGATTTTTTTGCCTGCCAAATTTTGCAGAAATTTCTCTGTTACCGCATCTTAACCAAGAAAGGGACTGGGGATGTGCAATTGATTTGTTCTTTCAATTTGTGCTGTTTGTGTGTCGTATAAGGTAGACTAGCAGGAGAAGATTATTACAGATGCCGAAGATCATTGCTACATTAATTACATTACATTTCCATGGATTTAAAGTTGACTTTATGATCTTCTCCATTCTCAGTGTCAAAGACATTCATGGATTTGGACTTTCTCCTCTGTTCTTTGTTGCTCTGTCTGACTCTTGCTGACAAACACATACACAAACATTCTCAAGGTGGTCTAGTGCGATAAATCAATGTCTCGGCCAGGAGTCAAAGAGCCCCATTGATTGAGCTTCTGAGTTTGATCTTCCTGTTTACCTACTGGCCCACTAATGCTCTGACCACTCAGACACGACGTGGGACGGTCGTGTGAACAGATATATTATAGAACTACAGTACAGTCATGCTCACACTGTAAGATATATTTAGGGTGAGTTCATAGTGTATTTTGGGAAGTACGGCTGACTCTCACAGACTGGAACGCTGGTGTCGGTAGTAACTTCAAACATGGAGGTCTCTGCTGTAGTCTGTGTGTTTTTATTTCTCCTGTTGCTCACCAGTTTGCAAATGCACAGACGTTGATCTGAGCACTTGGCCAATTGAACATACTTGCATCCGTTTACTTGTTAACTGTGTTGAGGGAACTTCCTGTTCGATTCTGCCATTCAGGAATGGTTCTGAGTTGATGATAGGTGGTTGCTTGGCTTATTTGTAAAGTCAAATTGCCTATTGGTAAAGTAAAAAAAATATTAAAGTAGTAGAACTAGGGATGCGTGATTTAAGGAAAAATCGAATTGCAATTTATTTATTTTTTCTTCTAAGAATTGTGGTTTGCGATACAAAACAAAGCACCAGGGACCTGTACCATGATGGTAGTTGAACAAACTCAGGGTTGCAGGATTAGTTTCGAGTTGACAAAACCAAACCAAACCAATCCAACAAGACTTTGTTGATACCATGATGCTGATCACAAACTTTCTCTGTCAACTCAGGCTTTGATCTTGAGTTTAGGTGTGACATCAGTAGCGAACAGCCAATCACATGCTGAGAAAGAGTGAAACTCATTCCAAACTCGCGAGTGAAGCAGCGCAATTCACTAATTAAAGTATTAAAATATTAAGAATTTAAACTAATTTACACAGCAAGAAGAAAATAGCTGTCTATGAAAGAGGACAACTAAAAGAAAAAGTATCGCTACTGTATATTAGTGCAAGTAAAAGTTGTGAAGTTAGTTTACAGATGATAAAGGTATAGAGAGAATTGAACATTCAAGCTCACATGTAGTCATTGTATAGCTTCATCTATTGATTCAAAAGGGTTTTTATATTACCTTTGATGTATTTATTCATTTAAACTCTGCGTAATAATAATTGATGAGCTAAAATTGTACATGTGTGATCGATTATGGGTATAATAATTACATAAATAATATCTAAATCATACAAATTTATTATTCTACATAAGCATTACTAAAAGCCAGACGATTTTGTCTTTAAAAATCATTTGCTATGGAGTGACCTTTAATTTGGTGTAGAAACAGGTGGAGTGACTTTATCGCATCAGACATGTCACTTTGCTCACAGCTGATTGGTCCAAATTCGTTTTGCAACCTCTTACCTGGAACATAACCTGCTCCGGACCAGGTTAGCCGTGGAGCGTAAGTTACTATGGCGATGAACACGGCTAAAAGCCAAAACACTTTCATGGTGCCTAAAACCCAGGGTTGGCACAAACTAAACTGATACAAATCGGGCTAGCCACCTAAACCAGC